CCTTAAGTTTTACTCTGAGTAGACCCGTTTAAATTAACAGTTGACCACCACTCAATATGTACAAGGTTCACGAATACTGTTCACCCCAATTGCCAGGGTGATGAGGGTGTCAGGGTTTGGCAAATGAAATAAACTACGGTATGTGTTTCCTTCACACCCGTGCCCTCCATGCCCCCCAAGTCAAAAAGTTCAGCTGGAGATTTGTTTTGGCTCTAAGTGCAGAGCCATTAAGAAGCCTCCACCCTCCCAACTTCAGTTCCAAGCTGAACAGATATTGTTACTGCCAAGGGTAGGAACAGTTGCATCATAGTCTCCAAAGTTTTAGCAGTACCTATGCCAATACTATATTACATCAATTCAGTGTTGGAAAAGACATAGCAAGTCCGTATGTGTTGTAGTACATAGACAGACAGACTTCCGCCCAAATAAGATGCAAAGACTTTACACCAGCAAGGGTGGAGCTACGCCTGGGCTGGCATGGTACAACCTCAAGAGAAGCTTTGGCTGTCACCAATTTAAGGGAACAATCCAAACCCAAGATCCACTAGGATGAGCAATGTTTGGAACAGGCAATCTCCTACACCACCTGAAGGCTTTCATGCTGGCTTAGCCAGAGATATTCTAGGCAAGTCCTCCATCCTGGCTCAGCCAGCTGAACTGAGGCTTTTAGTCCTTGGGGGGGGGGCGTGTTCCAGGGCATGTTGGGGGTGTGGAGAGGCAGATTTAACCTTATTCCAAATTTTGTTCAGCTCAGTCATATGAACTAGCAACCCAGTGAGAGTTACACTAGCAAAAGGGGTAGGATAAGTCAAACTCAACTTTAAAGACTTCTTTCCCTCCATTAGGCTTCTGAGTAGAGTTTGGAATAGGGTTAAGTCACACTGGCATATTTTATCCCAAGGTAAATTAAACTGGCTTCCTGTAATCTGGATTGCTCTACCCTTAAGTGTCTTATGTCAAAAGGGAAAGCAAGCAGGTATGTTAAAAGGTGTAATGTTTATTATCTTCCGACTTCTTCCTAAAAAATAAAATGAACCGATCAATACAGAAATAATGAGTGGGTAAAAATGATTGCTCCAACAGTTAGCTTATCCATTGCGGTCTTTTAAAAAATGCTTTACAGAAATCATGGTATTTTAGAAATGGTACTCATGAGATGTTGGTGGCACTGGGAAGATCTATGAACAGGACATAGTGAAGTGCGTTAGATGAGTATTTGTGGTAATTTCAGATTTAGTAAAGCTTCGTTTTCTAACCTTTCAGATCAGAACCATGCAACAACTGCTACTGGCCAATTCCAATTTAATACCACTTTTGAAATAAACAGAAATGTGCTATACCTCTGCTTGACTTCCTGGTTTGCCTGCTGCTTCTTAGTCTTTTGATCTTTCTGTTGCTTATTCTGATTCGTAGCAGCAGAAGTCTTTCCCTTCTCAGACCCTTCTGCTTGAGTTGTTGCTTCTTCTGTTTTTTTGCAGACATTTTCCGTTTTAGTCTGTTCTTCCAACTTGGCTTTCTGTAACATAGGCATATGTGATTCAAAATGCTTGAAAAAATGTACTAGTCCCTTGTGGCTTGCAAGGGGGGGGGGCTTAATCTTGTGCCCGGCTCCCAAGGAGAAAATTATGCTTGAGACAGGTCATCAGAACAGGTTATTTTAGAAGTTTCCGCAAGATGCCGAGCGGACCGCGAATATGACATCTCCTTATCAGATTTGGCCCTATGGAGCCTAAGGGTAAGAGCGCAAGGGTGACACACCTCCCCCAAAAGCCCCAAGAGGAGCACTGAGGTGTCTTGAGGTCCTGCGACTCACTAACGGCCGCTTGGTATTGCCGGTCCCTGCCTTTGTGCCGAAATGCGCGGAGAGTGGGGGGGGGGGAGAGCCAAGTGTGCCAGTGAGCTAGGCACCAACGCGGCTTTGTAGAGAGCAAAGCCTCCAATCCAGCCATGAGCAGTTACCTTTCCAGAAGACCGAAGCCAATAGCAAAGGTAAGGAGTGCTCAATTTGATTTATTTGGTAAAAAACGGGAGTGTTAAAAGGAAGTCCGCTCCCGTTCCTGGTGATATGAGCATGAAATACATACAACTGAAGTGTTGATGAAGTTCACTTTGGAAGATATGTTAGCTAATGAATAATAAGGATTAAAAGATTTCACCAAGCTCTTATACCAATCACTCAAGATTTTCTCTTTAAAAAAAATACATTGAACTTGACTTGAATTTGAACTTGAATCCATCCTATGTTGCAATTGAACTTGACTTTAAATGGAGGCTAAACCGGAGAAGGACTGCACTGTTATTGTATGGAAGAATATCACAAATTTCCTCTCAGGAAGAAAGATTGGACTGACCCTCTGAATTTATGCTACTTGTGGGAAAGAAGTATTTGAGCTTTCAGAGTGCTGAAGACATCTAACCTAACGGAATTATAATTGTGGACTTATTTTATTAAAAGGTAACAGCTAGTTAAAAAGCAAGATTATAAAAAGGACTATTATATTCATTGCTAATATTGGCCTAAATCAGATTTTCAAATAATTCAGTTTTATTTATACAGTATTGGCAATTAAAAATTACTCTGATGTTAATGGATATAAAGAAGGGGATATACAATTGTTAAATCTGCTAAAATTTGTTTTTGTGAGCAAAGTAGAAGGGAGGGAGGGAGGAGGCTGGAAGTACGGGGGTTTTTTATTGAGTCTAGTGAAATGGCCTTGACAAAGTACTGATAAAGCCAAAATAACACTTTCCCTGGTGGGAAAGGACTTTTTGTTTTGAAATTTAATCTTAGAAAGGAAGCTGGGAAACAGCAAGAGAACTGCAGCCCCATCTCAAATTAGAATTGGCAGAAAAAATCTTAATGCTGAAACAAACCAGCAAAGCCGTAAGACAAGAGAAATATGAATTATTTGACTTACTTTTAGAATTTAAAAGAGAATTGTTCGATCAGACAAAAGAAATAAAGCAAAATGCTGATAAGGCAGCCTCTCAAGTTCAGAAAAATACTAATTTACTTTCAGAGGCTGTGGGACAATTTAAAGAAGTGGATGCACACACCACTAACATGGGAAAGGCTGAGGTACGAGGTTTGAGGAAAATGCAAGGGAAAGTGAGGGTGGTCTATGCCAAAAATGACACCTTGTGTGAATTGATTTGGGAAGCTTTGGCGGTGATGGAGATGAAGCAGGAAGGGCAGGTAAAAGGTATGAGAGGCTACCATATGTGGTGGCAATGCAAAATTATTAAGAAGGCTTGGGAAGTGATATATAAAGATTTGAAGAGAATGTTGAAAATGACTTTTGTTTAAAAAAAACAAAGCTATGATTCTGAAAGATACAGGACCTAACGGATTTACCATGCAAAAGACTTTGTTCCTGCATCTGAGAATGGACGCCAGGCCAAGACCAGCCCATCCCTATAGAAGGAAGAAGCCACCACCAAAGAAGATGGAGACTGGCAAAGCAAACTAATGAACTATGCAGGACATACTAGACATTTTGAAACTCTAGAAAGAAAAAGGACATTGTTTTCTTTCTTTTTTTAAAAAAAGGGGGGATGTTCAAGGCACATTTAGCAAGCTTTATGTATAGGCTTTTACATTAGTTGAACTTTTAAAGGTCACTTGTAACAACATGAATAAGGTTTTAAAATTGGATAGTTAAGAATATAAGATTTTGTGGACGTGTATGAAGAAGTATAAAATAATGGAACCAGGAGGGGGAGTGGAGGGAAGTCAATTAAGATGTATGATTTTGATTGTGATGTTTGTTTTTGTTAATATAAAATTAATAAATTGTATGTATATACACACACACACACACACACACACACACGGGGGAGGGAGCTTAATCTTGTGTCCAGCTCCCAATGAGAAAATTATGTTTGAGACAGGTTACCAGAAGGGGTTATTTTAGAAGCCATGGACTAGGTGGGTAGGGGTATCGCCCCCACAATATTTTGTTTTCACGCAAATGAATCTCTTCTTTCAACAGCCTCTGGTGAATCCTGGTGGTAACACCTGGCGCTCCACTGAGTCAGGTTGGATGGGCTCCCTTTAAGTATTTTCCTCCACTGTGGCCCTGTGCGCTATGCAACTAGATCAGACAAGCTAGCAAGTGATCCCTTAAGCCCCTCCCCAATGCACTTATGCAACATAAAATCAGGGGAATTGGGAGGACAGAAAAGGACAGCTTCCTTTTCAATCCCTCAGTGAACCTTACAGCCGTGGGCAACAAAGGAAAGATTCTGAAAGGGAACCATCCAGTCCAGAGCAGGGAGCTTGTCTCCATTAGGCTAAATGAACCCCTTTTAAAAACAAAAGATCAATCCTAGCACCTAACGAAGCTTCAGCAAATAAAGGGCTAACCCATCTTTTAACACCAGGGACATTGGGGAAGGATGACAAGGATGATTTGTTCACTGTACTCCTCTCACTGCTGCTTCTTGCCCCATGCCTGATAAATTCAACAGGAGCAGGATTATTTTGCCTGGGGCCCCCTGAAACCTGGAACTGATTCAGTCTGTTGGTCCTATTTGAATTTCTCGGCAGCTTTTGATACCAAGCACAGCACCTTTTGAGAGTACCATTCTAGGATGAAATTAACAGATAACAAGTGGTTTTAGGCCATCCTGGATTGTAGATTCCAGAAAATGGTGCTAGGACTGGCTGTGTTGGTGGATTTGCTCCATGCCAACCTCCATGCTGCCTCGCCCTTTCCCCCCCAGTAAGCAGAAGCGGCACAGCTGTCAGGAGATCAGGTAAGTGGTGTCAGCCCACCACAAAGTCCACTACCGCCTGAAGGACTCCATATTGCCTTCTACTCTGTTCAACAACTGCATGAAACGACTAGGGGAGGTCATCTAGAGATGCAATGTCTACTTTCATTAATAAGCAGATGGATGACATGCAGCTTGAACTCTCCTATTCAGGACAACACCCAAGAAGGCAATGGAAGCAGACATATGCCCACACAACAAGACAGCCAATAGGACTGCAGGCAACATACCTTTGAAACCGAAGCACTTGTCTGTTGCTTGGTCTCTTCAACTTTTTTCTTATGACCCGGGCTCACTTCCGATTCAGACGAAGCGGTCTTAATTTCCTGATTTTGATCTTCTGTACTTGATTTCGCAACGTTATTTTCGGAAGATTCACCAGTACAGCGAGGGTCCAAAGAGACGCTCTCTGAATCTCCATCAGAATTAGGTTGTGTTGCAACCAAAGTCTGGGTATCTGATGTATTTCCCTGAGACAGATCAGTTGCAGTAGAACTTGTCTTACTTTGTTCTTTACTAGAACCTGTCTGTTCACCAATTTCATCATTCTTTTCAGAGCTTTCCTCCTCCATCTTCTCTTCTGCAACTGCAGCACCAACATGCTGGTCTGCTGCACCATTATTACTATCCTGACTCTTGGTATCAATATCACCAACATATTTTTCTGCAGCAACTGCTAGACTCTGATCTATGTCTAAGGGGCTACTTTTAATCTGACCTCCACTGTCACCAGCTGACTCCTTGTCTGATTTGGTCAATTCATCTTCTGGGCCTTGACTTTCCTTTGGTTGGTTTTTTGTATCTGTCACTTCAGGGCTAAAGTGATCAAGACTTGGTGGTGCTGAACTAAAACAGCTTGTCAAGGATGTCATCGAGGAGTCCTGAACTTCAGCATCTGAGGGACGCCTTTTCTTTTTCTTCTTCTTTTTCTTCTTCTGCATGATAGAAAACAAAAAACAATAATAACATCCACCTCTTTTAAAGGTTCAGAGGTAAAGCAAGAATACATCATTCACCCTACATCTTCAATATTAACCTTTCCAGCATATGCTTCCACTCTTAGCTATCAAAATCAGAACTGGAAAAGACCTAGACACATCTGTTATTATTACAGTGGTACTTTGGAAGTCAAACATAATCCATTCTGGAAGTCCGTTCAACTTCCGAAACGTTCAGAAACCAAGGCGCAGTTTCTGATTGGTTTCCAAATGCGGAGGCACGCCAGAAACAATAGCGGAAGCTGTGTCGGACGTTCGGGCTTCCAAAAAAGCGTTCAAAAACCAGAACATTCACTTCTGGTTTTCGATCATTCGGGAGCAGGAACGTTCAACTCCCAAGGCATTCGGGAGCGGAGGTATGACTGTACAGTGGTACCTCAGGTTAAGTACTTAATTCGTTCCAGAGGTCAGTACTTAACCTGAAACTGTTCTTAATCTGAAGCCCCACTTTAGCTAATGGGGCCTCCTGCTGCCGCTGGGGCACAGTTTCTGTTCTCATCCTGAAGCAAAGTTCTTAACCTGAAGCACTATTTCTGGGTTAGTGGAGTCTGTAACCTGAAGCGTATGTAACCTGAAGCGTATGTAACCCGAGGTACCACTGTACTACTTGTCCTTCAATCCATGGCAAGGAGACCTCCTATCAACTGGTTGGTATGCAATTATGCACTTTCCTGGACAGGAATAACTTTCTGCTATGACTCATGCATTGATGAACTCAAGACTGGATTACTGTAATATGCTCTTTGTGGAGCGTCCCTTGAAACTGGACCTGAATCTGAAGATGGAACATAATGCATCCACGGCTGCCATTTTCCAGGGGTGAGAAAACCTAGCTTTCATAGGAAGCTGCCTTAGACTGAATCAGGCCATTGGTCCATCCAGCTCAGTGCAGTGGCAGCAGCTCTCCAGGATTTTGGGCAGGGTTTTCTATTTGCAAGAACTAGTCAAGGATTCTGACAAAAATGCATTTTTCCAATCAGCAATTCACAGCAGACACTTGACTGGCAACTGATACTTCAGACCAATTCACTTACTTAATTACTCACTGCACATAGGAAAAACTACCTGCTGCAGGCTTGAGCATGGGCTGCTGCCCTCATATAGGTCTGGTTTCTCCTTTTTCCTTTTTCTGGAAGGAGGGTTATCATCCTCATTCAACTCATTCCAGTCAACATCGTTCTCAACTTTTACTGCCTGTTGAAAAATAGCCTTGCTTTCAGAGAGCTTAGCACTTGTAAGCAAAATGTAACTGCTTGCCTATCAATGCAGCATCTTTAAACCAAGTGGCCATTTCAAGAAGCATCAGCAAAGCACACTTAACAGCTCCACCATAGCAGACAGCAGGAAGCGAAAGTTTGTATTTCTGAAATCTCTGCACTATGCCCAACCTGTTCTCAAATGTACTCACTTTTTTCTGTGTGAGAGAGGCTTGACTCCCAGGGCTCTCAGATAAAGATTTTTCTGGCTCCCCTTGTGCTTCCCCAGTTAGTGGCTGCTTATCAACGGAAGATCCCAAGGAAGGGGAGCTTTCCACTCTCAGTTCGCCCCCAGGCTCCATCTCCAGCACTGAAGTCAGTTTTGCATCTCTGTTTTCTGCAACTGAAACAGAAGAATTGCAGAAAGTTATCTATGGAGAAGTCTGACATTAGTTCAGAGGCAGGGCTGGGGGTCTCAGTGGTGAACAGGAACCAACATTTTTAGACACAGAAGTCAGTAAATTTTCTGTCAGGCCCACAAAGAGCATTATTTAATTATTAAATCCCCAGGTTACACCTCTCTTTCAATGAAGAAATTGAAGAGCATATGCTTGCCTTTCTGATGCAACAACACATCTCAGATACTGTCTCTATAATTCACATTTCATTTTATCAGGGCATCCCATACTGCAGAAAGTAATTCTTTTAATTAATGTACAACAACAAAGCAAGTTACACTTTCTCTGTGGCTATTGCACCATTGCCATTTTGGTCTGCAGTGTTTTTTTAAATCTGTTGCTGTATATATCTTAATGTTTCAGTTTCTTTTCACACAGAGTGTTAACAACACATATGCAAGCTGTTTGACTAATGTCCACCAACCCATTTGGCTGTGCCTATTTGATTTTTTTATGTAAGCTGCGTTTGGCATTTTGTCTAAGACAGACAGAATGTTTTAATAAATAAATAAATAAATAAATGGGTCACATAACAAGCCTTCTAACAGCTGTTTTCCCCGAGTGGTGTTATTCTAGCATGTTTGGGCCATAATTATGCTTGTCAAACTTTCCCCCCGCTGCAGATGGCATGGTGAGAAGGAAGAGCAGCCTCTTGTTACCACCATTATATTCTTAAGATAGTATCTCTCAGGTAAGGGACAGAGAGGTGTTTTTGGATCTATGTTTGCATAGATCGCAGAATGCTATAGCGTTCCTCACTTTATAGCATAAGGGAAAGTAGATGTGTAATAAGAATCATGAGGTAAGGGAAGTGTTAGGAGTGTGCAGAAAATGGGCAAGTGCAGGACAAAAAGCTGGAGGGGGGAAAGCTGGACATTCATTTATTTTTTCCAAAGTGCAGCTGCAAGGGGCTTGTGGTTTTCTTATCTAGTTGCTGGGTGACTTATCACGTACTGTTGCATATGAAATATTCTCCCACATCCACATTCCTGAGGAAGAGAAGAGGGCAGTTCGGAGAACAGAGAACTGTGGGAAGTTGAAAGAGTTAGGCGTTTGGACAATTGCTTTCTGTAAAATTTGAGTAAGTTGGAACTGCTAGTGTTTAGAAGCTTAGAGAACTTGTCTTGTCATATGTGTGAAATGTATAATATCTTGAACTATGAATGGAGGCAATATAATCCGTAAAATACTGCTAAGTGTGTGTCTTGCTGTTGGAGAAATTTAATCACTTCTTTGGACTTCCAGGAACACATACCCCAACACATTTACCCAGTTAAGGTTTGGGGGCATGAGTTTAGTGGTTTTTAAAACAGTGCATTTAACTCTACAACTAATATTCCAAAAGAGAATGAAAACATGGTATGGGAGAAAAGAGTGGAGAGACAGACAGAAATAACATATGCACAAACTGGAACTTATATACATCTCATGCTATTATTGATTAAATTACAGTGGTACCTCGGTTTACGAACTTAATCTGTTCTGGAAGTCCATTCTTAAACCGAGGCAAGCTTTCGCTAATGAGGCCTCCTGCCGCCGGTGCCCTTCCATCGTTCAGATTCCGTTCTTAGACCGAGGTAAAGTTCGCAAACCGGGACACTATTTCCGGTTTTGCAGAGTTCATAAACTGAATCGTTCTTAAACAGGACTGTTCTTAAACTGAGGGACCACTGTACTACCAGTTGAATTTTACACTTACTCTCCAATACAGAGTTAAAGGTAAAGGTAAAGGGACCCCTGACCATTAGGTCCACTCGTTGCCGACTCTGGGGTTGCGGCGCTCATCTCGCTTTATTGGCCGAGGGAGCCGGCGTACAGGTCATGTGGCCAGCATGACTAAGCCGCTTCTGGCGAACCAGAGCAGCGCATGGAAACGGCATTTACCTTCCCACCGGAGCGGTACCTATTTATCTACTTGCACTTTGGCATGCTTTCAAACTGCTAGGTTGGCAGGAGCAGGGACCAAACAATGGGAGCTCACCCCGTGGCGGGGATTTGAACGACCAACCTTCTGATCGGCAAGCCCTAGGCTCTGTGGTTTAACTCACAGTGCCACCCACGTCAGGAACACAAAAAGGCAAGGAGAGGTAAGGACATTGACTAGCCAGCAACAACTCTGCAATGTCTGGAACATTCATAGGCAAGGGGGGCAATAAACCAGACAGACACCAATGATTCTAGAACTTTCAATGTCTTTTACGTATTTTCATTGTGTCCCTAATTCATCTTGGAAAGTAGTTGTACACCATTTTGTGATTCTTGGTTAAGGCTGTAAATCACTTACTTTGTGTGCTGGTAGAAGAAGCCTCAGCTAACTTCTTCCCACAGTCACTGCAGAATTTGTGAGATGCAGGCTGAGCACTGCCACATTCAGGGCATTTAAAGCCCTTTTCATGCAATTGCTGATCCAGGGTGAAGTTTTTTCCCCAGCCTGTTGGAAAGCAAGAAAACGAAAGACAAATGGGGTGAGGTGACATTAGTCATACAACTTGCTTGCATATTGTTTCACTCAGTGAAACAAAACTAACTGGAGTAACATTTCATATATTCATAGAGAATTAATAAATGTAGTTCTGCTTAATGATTCATCAGATCCGGATAAGTTCGCTAGTTCTGTATTTTAACAGTATGTTATAAACACAGGAACCCACTTCAAACACACACACACAAATGCATACAGATAGGTTTCAATTACAATAATTCTAAAATTAGCATCAGGCATCAAAATGTAATCAAAGTTATAACTTGTATCTTTGTAGTGAATTTTAATAGTTTTAAGCTGCTTTGGCTTAAATGAACTTGGCTGAAAAGTTCAGTGAAAATATAACAGTAACAATCCTACTTCTCATACAAAGTATTTTGCCTCATGAACCCTAACAAATTCTTATAAAACTAACCAAGAATAGACATAAACTTAAGTCATAATGCGTCAAACCTGTCGCAAGATGTTCTAATAAGTAATAATAAAAATAATTTATTACTTATACCCCGCTCATCTGGCCGGGCCTCCTTAGCCACTCTGGGTGGTTCCCAACAGAATATTAAAAACACAATAAAACTTAAAACATAAAAAACTTCCCTAAACAGGGCTGCCTTCAGATGTCTTCTAAAAGTCAGATAGTTGTTTATTTCCTTGGCACCTGATAGGAGGGTGTTCCACAGGACGGGTGCCACTACTGAGAAGACCCTCTGCCTGGTTCCCTGTAACCTCACTTCTTGCAGTGACAGAATTGCCAGAAGGCCCTTGAAGCTGGATCTCAGTGTCCAGCAGGGTAGATAAAAATTAAAGATTTTTATTTTTAAAAAATATGATTTTTAAAAATTTTAATCGGATTTTAAAAATAAAATGCTTTTGGAGGAAAAATCTTTCTAAAGATAGTTTTCTATTTAAGTTACATTATAGTCCAAAGGCTATTCATTGGGAAATAAAGATTTATTTTAAGTTTTTCATGTGTGCTAAAGCTCAGTCTAAATTTTTTTTGGGGGGAAACAACATTTAAGCACAACAGTTAACAAATATGGATACATATGCTATAATGTTATTGATTTTGTTAAATAACTTGTTTAAACTGTTATTAAGAAAATGATTATTTTTCTCCTTCCAATAAAGTACATCAGAAAAGTTGTCCAAATATAAACAGTTAACTTATTAAACCTCACAATAATTTCATAAGTATCTGTCTATGTATTTCTAATAGTATAACCAAATCAGTAATTTTTTATATAACTGTAAAAACTACTCTGAAAATTTATTTATTATAAAAATGAAACCTTCTTCTGGTTGTAAATATTAAGATTATACCAGCAAGAACAAGTCTTCCTGTAAAAATTAATAAAAATAAATAAATCAAGTCTTACTGACTAGTGATTTAAATCATGATTTAAATCAATTTGATTTAAATCAAATCCACCCTGGTGTCTGGGCTGAATGATGGGGTGGAGATGCTCCTTCAGGTAGTTTGGTGTCTAAGCAGGTCAGTATTTTGAGCTAAACATTTATTTTGGCAGTGGCCGTGCAGTATGGTACAGTATATGTATATTGCTTTAAGTGTGGGCGTAGTGGTGATGGGCATTTACCACATCTCTCGCTCAGTTTCTGCCTTCAGTTTACCTACACTTTAATACTACAAAGTGTGCAACTAATCAAAGCTAGTATGGTAGTAAGTGGTCTTCTCACCCATGCTCTCTTCCTTAAAACCGGTTAGAAGGAGCAGTGATTTAAAGTCTCTCTTGCAGGTACTATTCTTCTTGTAGGCCCATCCCTGTTCTTTTTAGTGTGCCCATTTAGTATCACCCCCAACCTATCTCTGGTCATAATTACAGTATTTACATTTAGAAACTGGGTAAGAAAAAGGTTTCTTTGAACATATACAAAGACACTTTCCCCTTCATCTATAAGTAACTAACCAAAGAGAAACTGCAGCCTGTCTTAAATCACACAAGAAATGCCATTCACCCTTTAAAGACTAAGAACCATTTCTCCTGTCCACCTCATAAACATTGTGAGATAACACAAAGCAGTTATGAAGATTTCAAAGCTTATACTGCATTACTGCTAAACTTTATGTCGGTACTGTACTCCATTATCCACAATTTATCACTGACCAGGAGAGTGCTTTTGTATTGAACTACCAACCCACAATGGTCTCATTGAATCAGCAAGGCCCAATTCAAGTGTAATCTCCCATCGGTTTTCTCTTTCACTGCCTGATATTTTGCTAAATACAATGCAACTTATTTGCACAGCTACTTATGTGCTTTAAGGTTATAGCAGTTTGGCTTACAAGTCCTTAACAGCAAAGGAACATATGTGTGTATATGTATGTATTTATTCTGAGGAGGCCAAACACAAATTGCTGCCTCACGATTCCACCTACACTGGCGATGGGAAAAGACAAAGTTGGCTCCATTCCTCAGACTCCTCCACTTGAGACAAGGTGCTGAGGACAGGAAGATCTTGTCACCTCACAACACCTCTGGGGTTTATTTATTTATACGGATTCCCAAAAGGATCACACCTCAAAATCTCCTGGCAGAAGCCGTCCTTCCGCAGCAAAGAGACAAAGCGGCACTTACACCCACTTAACTTCTGCCTATGACATGCAACTGTTAAAGGATTGGGAAACGTGTCAGGAAAACCCACTGAAGGGTGGCAAGGCACAAGGCCCATCCCCACACTGGGCACTTGGAGACGGCTGCCATTTTAAAACTAGAATATTGGTGTCAAAATAGCATCTTGGGAACATACATGTTGAAATAGCTTGGACACTACTAACTGAAATAGGAAAGAGAAGAGTGCAGAAGGTCTGTAAATTTTGCCTCCGCTCTTCCCCATATCTAATACTGTAGTGAGTGAGAGAGAGAGAGAGAGAGAGAGAGAGAGAGAGATACAAAAGCTTTCACTTCAGCACACACAACCCCTGGACTCCAGGCCCGGGGCCAGATAGTGCAATGGCCCAATCAGCAGCCACTATGCAAATATAACAGGTGATCAGTCTCTGTCTCTCCACCTCACCTACAACTGGTAGATGCAGCTGGTGCTGCACTACAAACCCGAGAATTCATTGAGATTACCTTCTTTATATGTTTGCAACACATTATGCGCTGGTTTCCAGCAAATTACTATTTTTACCACACAAATTGGAACAAATTTCACTCTTTCAAAAAAAAAAAATCAAACCTAGGGCTTTCGCTTAGCTACCACAGCCAGCTGAGGAAGGAGGCCCACCTATTTGCCCCACTTCCTTTCTTACCTTTACGGCCCATACTTAGGCCATTATCCAGAAGTTGACCCGGCTACTCCAGCCATTGAATCCTTCCCAGATCCAGGAGATTGTCTCCGGCATGAGCATGCAATAAACATTACTTCTTTAAAAATAAAAAAGGAAAGTTCCAAAGGCCCAGCGTCTGCTCACGGAAGTGAAACAGAAAGTCGACGAGGGGCGCTTGACCCGCAGCCCAAAAGCAAAGAAGCAGACTTTGGAGGGTCTGCCGCTTGCTTAAATTCACAGTATCATGGGGGGGGGGGGAAACCTTTTCGTCTTCCCACCGCAGCAAAACCAACAGCACACCTCAATAGCGAGGGCAATAGCGGAGACCCAGGAAAGCTACCCGACCCTCCTCGCCCAACTTTGCAAACTGTCCTATATATAACCGATGTAACAAGCCGTGCCCCACTCCCCCTTTGCAGTTCCACTCCGTTTAATATCCACGCAGGTGCCGCCGCCACCCACGGCCGGGGAAAAAGCAAACGGGCAAAAGAACACAAAAACGTGTCCCAACCTTTCCCCCACCCCCATCCCGAGCTTGCAAAAAGTTTAGCAGAAGCGACAGCAAAAGCCACCCCCACCTTCCCCGCTTGGAGGCGAGCAGAGGTTTCTATCCTAGGTGCCTGCAAAAGGTTTTAACGGGTCACGCCGCGAAGCCGGCCAGGTTGCTTCCACAGGCGACACCTGCCACCTTCGTGTTACTCACCTCCGTTTAACTCCGCAATGGCTACCCCGCAGCTCAGCAGAAAGGACGCTTCCCCGCTTCTGCGAAGCCCGCTCCTCTCTGACGCACCAGCAGCTGAGCAAAGCAAGGCAAGCCGGCAAAGTTTCGCTTTCCCCCTCGCCGCTCGGCTTCTTCTTATTGGAGGATGCGCATAGTTTCGTTTCCGAGCGCCACCCCACCCACCACCGCTCAGCCTCGCCGCTCCGTCCACCCCTCCCTCCCGGCTGTAGCCGGAAACGGGGAATTCCCGATGGCCGCGAGACATCCAAGGGCAGGGCTTGGCTTCGTTCCAAACCGGCAGAACGGGGGAAGGGACAACGGGTCACCTCCGAATATCCCCATCCATCGGCAAACACCTTTTGACGCAGCCCAGAGCTACGGAAGAACGTAAGGAGGGGATCTGCCGGATTCAGGCCGAAGGCCCATGTGGTCCAGCACCTTGTTTTCACAGCTGCCCGTGGGAAGCCTCCTCTCGTAACGCGATTCCCAAGATCCTGTATGCAGAGGCATCATAATATAGTGCTTCCAGTCAAAACATCGTTATCTCTTTTTTTCTGCAGCCATCCTTAACCTGTTTCTTGGTGCCGGACAAAAATATGGTCAGGCCTTTGTTTCTTAGTTAGGAGAGTAACTAGTTATGCAACCTGAACCTTTGACTTTCTTAGGAGGTTTCAGGCTAGATGTCAGACCTGAGTTGCACCACCAGCCACCAGAATTGAAAGGGACCACGAGGCTCATCTAGTCCAACCCCCCAGCAATGCAGGAATCTTTCACCCAATGTGGGGTTCGAACCCATAACCCCCCTGTGAACCTGTTGAGGAAAATCGTTATTTGGCATAAGCTGGGCAGTCATGTTTTTTAAGGTGCAGCTGTAAGTGCTTTTGATCTGTTTGCAACCGGGAATCTTCAGGTTGCAACCTGGCTACCCTAATTTATTTATTGTATGCAAGAGATGGCATGAGCATTATTATTTTTTTACTGTGCTGCTGTTAATAACAGGCAAAAGACAAGAGCTGCCAGGTTTAAATTACAACTCTTGTGATCAAGAATGAATAATAAATCTGATTTAAAAAGAAGTACAAATTGTCTGGGGAAATTGTGGTTTTAGGAAAAATCTAGAGCTGTGTGTATCTGGGAGGCATGATTTTCAAAGACAGGCCTACCAGAATAGAAAGCAAAATTAATGTTTTGTTCTGCAAGTGTTCAAATACATTAGGACTGTGGGTTGAGTCTTCTTGGAAATGTTTACACTTCTAGAGTTATACTTAAAATGAGTACTCTTTAAATGCACATTTATGCACACACACACACACACACACACACACAGGGTGGCTGGAGGTCTGGCTTCTTTTCCTCCTTCTAGTGCATTATTGTGCTTGAGAAGGACATTTTAAGAAGAATGGAGCTTAATAACTCCTATGGATTTATGTAACATTCAAGTTGTCTTAATAAACTGCTGTTGTGAAATGGCAGATTGTAGATCACCTGCCCTCAGACAGGCTTCTCTGGAGCAATTAAACTTTCTAAAGAGCTCTAGGAGCCTGTTCTAGAATGATAACCAAATGAACCAATCAAGAAAATCTGTGTTCCTGACCATGCATAGGGGAAGGATGTTTATAGAGAAAGGTGCAAAAAGTCACAGGCCATCCACATAATGGCAATAAGCATTATGTACAACCCCCTCCAAAAAAGAAAAAACATGTTCATGGAACCACGGTCCATGTGTTGGTCTTTTAATGTTGAACAGAGAACAAGCAGTCACTTAATGTGGGACATTGCACACCTACCCCTTTGTTGAATGCCTTGCAGTAAACCTTTGCTTGCGATCATTTAAAAAGAGAAGTCTGCTGAATGGTTCTGTCAGTTCCAGGAAGAATGACGTGTCTACATCATGGGTAAGCAAACTAAGGCCTGGGGGGGCCAGATCCCGCCCAATCACCTTCTAAATCCGGCCCGTGGATGGTCCAGGAATCAGCGTGTTTTTACATGAGTAGAATGTCTCCTTTTATTTAAAATGCATCTCTGGGTTATTTGTGGGGCATAGGAATTCGTTCATTTTTCTTTCTTTCAAAATATAGTCGGCTGTGCACAAGGTCTAAGGGACAGTGGACCACCCCCCTAATGAAAAAGTTTGCTGACCCCTGGTGTACATACTTCTGTATCAAGAAACAATTTTCTGCAGGACTGGGTAAGGGTGCCTGCACCTATTGAATTGAGCTCATTTATGGTTGAAACAATTCAACCCCCATCCCCAAATAGTTTGGTTTAAAGATTATTTTCTCAACCAGAATTTAAATAATCCAGCATTTCCCTACTATAGCACATAAATACAAGTCATTGTTAATGCAATGGACGCCTTTTGTAGCAAACATTTGGTTTATTAAATGGAGTGAGCAGCAATAGAGCTCTTATACATTGGTGAAAACTGACCATGGGCTCATCCATAGTAGGATTCCAAGTCTACTGCTTTGTTAGCACAATGAATTGGAACACCACTGCTAATGACATCACATTAGCCAATGCATTGTGTAAGCACAACTCTGAAGCAGACCATGAGTATTGCTTACTCATTAACGATGTATAGAAGAAGTGTGAGGTTTGTTGTCTTCACATCAGATTCACAGCTCAATCACTCAGTTCAAATGTCATATTAAACACAATCCTAATTTAGTGCAGTGAAAATCAGATACACTTTTTTTTTGTTGCATGCATGTTCAAAAATACCAATTAATATCTATGTTTTTATCCAACAGAAATAAAAGTTCTTTCATAAGGGCAAAAGAGGGGGGGATAGGCTAAAGGCAACTTAGTTCACACCTGAGTGTGTGCTTTTTAACTGAATTGCTTTTAAGGCAGCTACCTGAACTATTTCCTTGACTAAGCACTGACATAACTTAGGGCCATGTTCACACTCATTTAACTGTGTACTTATAGTTTTCAGTGCTGGGCTTCTAATGTGTTCACATTACCCAAAATATGTTACCCAAAATATGTATCCTGTACTTCTTTATAAAATGCTTATAAAAAACTACTGTTTGATGCATCGTCTCTGAAATCAGCTTCACACCCATCGGTGTACTTCAGCCGTTGCTAATTCATTTCTTGCCAAAGTGTGAACACCATTGCACAGAGTAAAATACCTGAGAGAAGGAGGATTAGTTCATTGCCTCTGACCCAGCGGCCTGTGACACTACACATCTAGTTCTGGCTATTGAATCCAATTGCTTTTTCTACCCCGTTATTTGAATGTGATTGAATCACTAACTTGCATTTTATATGGGGAAAATATATACAGTGGTACCTCGGGTTACATACGCTTCAGGTTACATACGCTTCAGGTTACAGACTACGCTAACCCAGAAATAGTGCTTCAGGTTAAGAACTTTGCTTCAGGATGAGAATTGAAATCATGTTCCGGTGGCACAGTGGCAGCGGGAGGCCCCATTAGCTAAAGTGGTGCTTCAGGTTAAGAACAGTTTCAGATTAAGTACGGACTTCCGGAACGAATTAAGTACTTAACCTGAGGTACCACTGTAGTTAGTTGTAGGGAGGGTAGGTGTTTCCTTCAGCTTCTGAAGCAGTAATGATTCCTAATAATGTGCAATTACACTTTCAGTTAGGATCTCCTTTAGTTTTGTTTTTTGGGGTTTTGTTGTGGGTTTTTTTTTGCTTAGTGCAAGGAAAGCAAGACCTAAAAATCCAGTACTTTGCTCTTCAGTAATTTTTTTTTAAAAAGTTGGTTGGGCAAGAAGAGAGGATGCACTGTCTGCCATTGACGCTGCTGCATTAACCCAGTCTTCGTTCTCGTTTAAGAGCGGCAGCCACTTTCCAGGCAGCGATACACTGGGAGAGCGGGATCTCTTCTGGGAATGTATCCTCTAGTTCTTCTAATATGTTGCTCCCTTTCCTTTCGAGGTATGAAATAAGTGTGTACCTAAGGCTGGGAAATAGAGAAAGAGAGTGAGCACAAAGTATAATCAGCTATTCTGCAGTACATGGCACTGTTCACGAGCACAAAAAGAGCTACATTTAGGTCAGGGGTCTGCAACCTTTAAGACAAAAAGAGCCACTTGGACCCGTTTCCGAAGGGAAAAAAACTGGGAGCCACAAAACCATTGCAACATTTAAAACAAATATAACACTGCATATATTGTTTCCAGTAGAGAATGCAAATGATTCTGTCCATGTATCATTAAACACTCCGTTTTCTTCAGAAATTTTTCTTTTCTTGCCTTTATCCATGGCTGGCCTACCGGGGGACCAAAACAGGGACGTCATCTTCCTCCTCGCAGTCGTAGACCTGCATGCGCGCCGCTGCCCTCTGATCTGACAGCGGGCGGGAAGGTGACGTCGGGACGGTGCGTGACTAACGCACACACCGCCCCCATGTGACGTCACAGCCAGTACAGCGCCCGCCACAGTGGGGAGTGTCGGGGTGCACAATGCGCCTCCTCCCCTCGCTAGTATCCACCCCGGAGCCGCGGCAAAGGTATAAAAGAGCCACATGCGGCTCCGGAGCCGCGGGTTGCCGACCCCTGATTTAGGTGATGAAGAAAATATGCAAAGATTGGGCTTGACAGGCTCTTACCTCCACTTGGGCTTGAACTCTTCCTGATCTTTGGGATGTTTGAGCTTCAGGATGATCATTTCGTGCAACTCTTGGAGGAAGGACCCCAGCCCAGCCTGCATAAGGAAGGCATTGAGGAGTTCTGTGTTCTCTGCAGTGAGCTCCTCTTTATAGGCTGCACCAACCTCTGCGAAGGGATCCTGGAAGGTAGATGGTAAGGAAGAGAGACACAACAGCACTGTTAGGAGCAGAGGGGGAAACAGAGAAATGAATCATCAAGTTATCACACACTTTCCCCCACTTTGTCCTTCCTACCCTTTTCAGATGCAGCAGCTGTTCGGATTTATAGCTCGAAAGGAGCTGCCACAGTGCAATGGTGTGCTCAAGGTGACACTGGCTCAGTGCCTGAAAGAAACACACAAACATCTGTTTTTTGAAAGAGAGTTACAAGTCAGAACTAGTTTTACAAAAGCTATGAAAGACAAATTTAGAACTGGGATGGGGAAGCTTAAAAGAACCCATATATAAGAACTTAAGCAAAAACAAGTTTTGTGGCACCTGATTTACAAATTCAGTACATTAGTCTTTAGGCTGTCATAGGGCACTTGATTTTATGCATTTTTCCACTGTAGCAGACTAATACAACTAACCCGCCGTAACTATAAGCAGGGAAACTGGCAAGAACCAGGTAACTGAAGCAATCTTGATGAGAAAAAAATCAACTAAGTAACAAGAATGATTCAATAAAATAAGTCCCATCACTTGCAGTGCACTCTCCTGCATCACTTGTGCAAGAGTAGGGACTGAATGCAGAACTCGTACTGAAAGTTGACCATTGCTCATCATCATCCCCAGCACACATCCTTCTAAGAATGGCAAGAAGGGCTGGGCATATTCCCAACTCTTGCCATACTGTAAGCCTCTTTTAATTAAATGTGTCTCAACACTGGCTGCACTAAGCTGTTCTAGGGGACTGCAAAGGGCTACCTGAGAACATGTGCCTGCGGTCACTCCTACCTGAGGAGCAAAGATAAATTATGAAGAATATGGGGTAGGGAGAATGGTAGCTGCCTTCCTTGAACTGGGGGCAAGTGATAAATTTATTATTTTAGTCTAGCCTGGTTTACACTTACCCCATAGAGACAAGTTAAGGCCCTGATCCCCTGCACTCACCTTCAGCACGTGGTCATTTGTCTGACTGCCCATTTGCAGGATATCTTCAACATATTCAGTCAAAGTCATCTTTGAGTCTCCTCCAGCCTTAGCCAGGAATCCTAAGGTTATTTCGGTGACAGACAGCGCTTCACAGATGTCACTGTAGGATAGCAACTTCCCACTGATTATGCCAGTTGTGGAATTTGGAAGAGAAATCTGTAATTCAAGGGAACAAAAATCCACCAGAATACATTCATCACTGCTTCCTTTTGCTTTAAAGAAAAGATGAGCATGCAATGCAGGCAACCCTACAGGATATGAAACAATTATAAAACATAGCCAAATGCAGCATAGGCTGTCATAACTTCATGTTCAGTCTCCAGAGAGCAAATATAGTATAGTGTTGGACTAGGATCAGGAAGACACAGGTTCAAATCCAGAGTCTCCCTTATCTCTTTACCATGAAGCTCATCTCAGAAGCGTACCTGGCTCAGCTTACTGTTGATATCATTGAAGAGATGCTCATAGTTTTGCTCATGTCTGTACACCAGGGTTGGTATGCCCTGTTAGGGAAGAAAGCAGAAAATATGCCAGTGAGCAGAGCTTTGCAATAACGTTCTCTGGGATGAGAGATGGATCTTACAGGCACCAAGAAAGCTAAGTGGCAGCATCACAATCATTTTATACATACTTTCAATGTGATTAAGGGCTTCCCCTGTAGGAATCTACTTGCAAGTTGCTGCTCAATTTTTTCCAGATCGAATTCCTGGAGGGCCTCCCCTCCTTTCTTCATGCTATATTGGCAGTTGGACAGGATCAATGGGATCAAGTCCCTCTCCACATTGTAAGCAATCACATGCAGATCTGTCACTTCAGCAGGGCTGACAGAGTATCTGTTTAGAAGGGGAGGGAGAGCACAAGAATGAGAAATCTTGCTCTGCTGCTGATTTAGCAACATATAAGGCTATCTGTCACATTGCAAGAAGAAGTGTGGATTCTAGCAGATGCATACACAGGCATACCTTATGGCATCTGTTGTGTATCCTTCTACGGCATAGACAAAGTCATTGTGTAGGCCAATGAGATAACTAGCCAAGGCAGTGGAACAAAGGCCTAGGCCACGTCGGCGAGGCAAAAGGATCTCAAACTCACTCTCCAGGGTTAAGTCAGTATCACAATAACCTTCGGGAAGTTTAATTTCACCTGCAATGGAGGAAGGAAACATCAGTGAGCAACAAGCTAAGACCACTGGTGAGTGCTCCCCTTTTCTTTTTGATCATTTCTGGCTTTTAAAAAAAATCATCATCATTTGTTGACTCCAATACTTTCTGAAAGCCAGAAGCAAGTCTTGGGCATTCTGGATGAACAAATGGATCATGTTACATCCTACCAATTAATCTCTCTATGTTAAAGGGAAACGAGTATTGCAAAGGGAGAGAATACTAGAAGGAATAGTTTATTTAGACTTCAACAGATAAGGCTAGAGAGTTTCTTTCAAAGTTAAAAAATAAAAGGGAAAGTTTGGCCTGCCATGAATAAATAAGACCAGATCTTCATCTGGTTGATAGCGGTGGATAAAAGTTCAGTGTGCTCTGTTTCTATTTACATTTTTGAAGTTTTATAAGCAAAACTCTGTATAAAAATTATGCACAGTTTCTAAACATATTTTCCAGTCTAACAGAATGCATTTAGTACATTAAATTTAACAATGTAAACTGGCAATTTACCGTGGGTTTCCAAGGATAATCTCAGCTTGTTCCATACATCCAGAAATATATTCACTCTGTTTTTCATAAGATTCTTGAATTCTGCAGAAAGCATACTGCAAGTCAAACTGCAAGTCAAGATTGTGAAGTTCTGTAGCTCTTTCTAAGAGTGCCTCAAGCACAGTTAGATCTGTTACAAAGAATTAGAATCTAAAAGCAGCCTTGCTGGAGGGGTCATCTAGTTCAGCATCCTTAATTGTACTTCTATTGTGTCCATTATGCCTATATCATGTACTTTGATTGTACACAATATGTCCAAAATCATAAAAGTGATGGTCTCCCCAGGAATCCATTTGACTTTCTCCTTTGGGCATGCAATGGGTATAGAGTGATAGATATGCTGTACACAAATTAACAAACTCTCCTGTCATTGGGGCTGTTTTGTAAGTTTAAAACTTGGTGTGAATCACTTGCCTTAATGCTATTTATGCTTTGCTAACTTGATCTATGGCATGGCAATCTCACCTGGTGAAGCCTTGTTGAGGAAATCTCTAATTGTTTGGTATTCCAGCTCAGAAATGTTCTGGAAGCTCTTCACCAAGTCTTTCTGCAGGGCCAGAATTTCTGGCAAAAACTTCACCAGCTTCAATTCAGCTTCCTAGAAATGAAGCAGAGTAAGGCAAGTCAAACTGAAAAGGTTGAAGATACCTGAATTAAACCTCCTCCTCTACACTTATTGAATTACTTTTTCTACTTTCTGCCAGTTTTTTAATAGGATTACATTTCCACTTGATAAGTAGGAAGTTTGCTGAATTTGAAAAGGCATTTCCAAGATACAGTGGTGCCTCGCAAGACGAAAAGAATCCGTTCCGCGAGTCTCTTCGTCTTGCGGGTTTTTCGTCTTGCGAAGCAAGCCCATTAGAGGTTTAGCGGCTTAGCGCTACAGTATTAGCGGCTTAGCCGGCTTAAAGATCAGCTGATAAGCGGCTTAGCATCAGCTGTTAAGCGGCTTAAAGATCAGCTGATAAGCGGCTTAGCATCAGCTGTTAAGCGGCTTAAAGATCAGCTGATAAGCGGCTTAGCCATCAGCTGTTAAGCGGCTTAAAGATCAGCTGATAAGCGGCTTGGCATCAGCTGTTAAGCGGCTTAAAGATCAGCTGATAAGCGGCTTAGCCATCAGCTGATAAGCGGTTTAGCGGCTTGGGAAAAAGGGGGGGGAAAGGAAAAAAACCCCGCAGGAACTCGCAAGACATTTTCGTCTTGCGAAGCAAGCACATAGGAAATTCGTTTTGCGAAGCACCTCCAAAACGGAAAACCCTTTCGTCTAGCGGGTTTCCGTCTTGCGAGGCATTCGTCTTGCGGGGCACCACTGTATGTTATGGAACAGGCCATACATTTTCTTGATGTAATAAGTATTGAAGAACATATATAGAACATTTTACACAAACTTTAGTTAGTAGTAGTGTTAAGTGAAATAGAAGCTTTTATACTGAGCAAAAAGAATGCTCAAAGGTTGTCAAATTAATCAATTTCCCCATTGTGATTTATATTTTAATGGTGAAATCGGGATTGATCAAAATCACATTAATTTTTGAAAGGAGTCATTTTTATCTTAGGGCTGTGTATTAAAATTTGACAACCTTTCTCCCCCTCATATAATTTTTTTCCACTCATTAGTTGTAAATAAACTATGAGAAGTTTTGATTAGGTAATAGTGCAGTACCATACAAGTCCTTTCCTAACTCCCCAGAATCCTATTTTTATGTATCATTTAGCTAGTTAAACCTTTGGAGAATGTGCTCATTAAGGAGCCTCAAGTGATCAGGTAAAAATAGTATTTGAGTGAGAATAATAGTACAGAGTGAGAATAATAGTACAGATTAATTATCTATGATTTTAAAAAGGTCAAACCACCTGCATTGTTTGAAGTTTATCAGCTTTTGACAAGTAGTTGACAGGAGAGCATCTGTTCTTAAGATCAAAGTGAAAGGAAGATGCAGGGCTGTGTATTGTATTACTTCCTTTATTTATGAAGATTAGCTCACATTCATTATGAAGAGCGGCCTGCACTTTAGTGCCTGCGCTTTGGTTTCTGACTCATATACCCCATGAAAGGGCCACTGGTAAAGAACTGGACATGCTCACCCTTTGCAAAAACTTCCACAAGATGGGCACCGTTTCCTTGCCATCTTTCTGCTGGACAACATGCTCCAGGTGCTCAACTGAAATCCGCTTCCTGCAGCTCCACATCCTGGAACAGTGTACAGTGCTGTTGCTGGGTAGTTCAGACAGGAAGGTTGCAGGGTCGCCATATATAATTTTTGCTATTAAGTTGGAAGCCATTGTCTTATCTTCACTGATCTGTTGATTCACATCCAGAAGTGTTTTATCCAGAAACTGCATGGGTGTAAAAGAAAGCGAGTCATTATAAGAAGTGGCCTCTTTCTAAAAAAGAAAACAAAAGCCTCCCACCATGTCAGGCATTCTGATAAATAGGGCATTGTGTTTTACAAATATTCTTAAGTAAAAAAAATATGGTAGTTCACTGATTTTTTTGTTCAATAAGCAAGTAGTAAAATGAAACATTATTAATGTACCCCCTGCCAGGGATACCATGAAAAAGAACAGAATAGCACAAGTAAAATTTGGTGTAATAATAATAATAATAATAATAATAATAATAATAATGTGGTACCTCGGGTTACATATGCTTCAGGTTACATACGCTTCAGGTTACAGACTCCGCTAACCCAGAAATAGTACCTCGGGTTAAGAACTTTGCTTCAGGATGAGAACAGAAATCGTGCTCCGGTGGCACGGCAGCAGCGGGAGGCCCCATTAGCTAAAGTGGTGCTTCAGGTTAAGAGCAGTTTCAGGTTAAGAACGGACCTCCGGAACGAAGTAAGTACTTAACCTGAGGTACCACTGTAATAGTCTTTTTTATGTGATAGTGGAATTTCTGAAGGACAAAGAGCTTCCAGCTTACGGGTGTCCACTAACTATGAATATATTCCAAAATCAACAGTTAAGCAATACCTTTCTTGGGACCCATCAAAATGTCACAGTTTTCCAGAACTCTTCATCATTTTTGTGAAGAACACAAAAGCTTGCCACACTTTTGTGACATTTTGGTTGGTCCCAACAAAGGTATCGCTCAATTGTTTAAAATGCCTGATTTCTCCAAGGAGATAACACTGGAGATTTTGTGTTTCACTTTATTTAGAAATATAAAAACAGAACCTAATTGAACCAATCGGGCAGGCCCCTTCTTAAGATGAAGTGGTATCACTCCTGATTCTACTGGAGCAATGAAAAGTTCTGACCTTCTTTTCCTTATTTTTGGAAGGATTTGAGAAACCCTTTCCATGTCAGTCTCCAACAATACAGCTCTCTAAAAGTCACCAAAAATATGTTTGCCAGTATACAGAATACTGGCTAGGTTGGAGCAGATTTAGCATCAATGTCTCAGTTCCATAACCTGCAATTATGTTTGGCAACTGCGTTAGCATTCACTAATCTAACTTCCATTTGAAAGGCATTTAAGAAGGCAAGGAATAATACAGAGAGGTTTTATTGGAAGTGTAGCTGAAGTCCTTATCCATGTGTTCATGTTAAAGTAATTTATTGCGCTAAGTGAAGAGAGCTCCAGTGATGGCAGAGCCAATGGATGAGTGCCATGAAAGAGGTATCAAAATCACCTTGAAAGTAGATCATGTTCTCCAACACATAGCTTGGTCTCAGAGGGCAGAAGAGCCCTGAAAATCAAAACCACAACTGGGGCATCTGTCTTGGGAGATGTATATATGACAATATTTGGAGAAATATTTCTCCCTAAAAGTACACATATGTGGAACAGATTTTAAGAAGGAGAGACAATTATTGTTAGTGGCTGCTCATTATTAGATCTTTGGGCGGGGGGATGGTCTTTACAGCTCCTTGATCCCTGTTTTGAAATTTAAGGGGAACATGGCAGGAGAGGTTTTACATGCCAAGGACAATATTGCCATGGATTTTTACATGTGCAACTAATATAGTAGGGGCATACTGTTTCATTTACATTTGTCCTGCATATTTTCATTAAATCAGATTTTTAAAAAATGAGTTTCTTATGTTGCTAACATGCACGGTAATCTCTTCCGAAATATTATGCCTATTTGCACTTCATTGGCTGAATGTTATTGTCTCCCTTGAGATGTAGATCCAATCATATCACACTCAGCACTCACAATATTTCTTCTCTACATATTCAGATATGCTTCTGCATAAACAGGTAAAATGCATGTTCAGTGTTTCACTGTAGTCATAGGCATACATCATTGTACTGTATATCTGTTACATGGCTTAGCAATGGAATACATATGATCCATTGATCAATAATTAAATCAGTGTACTGTTAGTGATGCACTTAATTTTATTTACCTTTAGTTCTGGAAGAACAACATTTCGAGCAACAACTCCTTCCCAATCATTTCTGTACTGCTTCGTAGAGAGTAGACTGTCAGATCTCCCTGCAAAAGAACATTTATTGTGTGTCATTCCCCTCTCTCTCCTAGCATGAAGTTACAGTACAATCATACCTTCATGCAAAACTTGTGTGATTTCAACCTTGTGCAGGTGAAAGCCATCCAGCTGAATTTGTGCAAATTAAGTGCACACAAGGCGGAGAACTTAAAAGCTCCCTTTGTGCATGGTTTTCCTGGACCTGAAAGAGCCTTTAAGCTCTATGCCTTGCTGACCAGGCTCTGGGATGCTCTTGTGCAAGTTTTTAAGATGCTCTCATGAGATCTGACAGGAAGTTGGATGGCCTCTGAGATCTCATGAGGGGAGGGAAGTATAGCCTTCCATGTGGAGTTCCTCAGGGTTCAATTTTGTTCTTTTTGGTGTTTAACATCTACATGAAACCACTGAGTGGGGTTATTCAGAGGTTTGGGGTATATTGTCAGCAAGATGCTGATGCCACACATCTCTACTCCTTTACACGTGCAAGTGTGGCAGTGGATGAGCTGGACCATTGAGTTGCCTCGGTAACAGACTGAATGAGAGCCAACAAACTGAAGCTCAATCCAGATTAAGACTGAGGCACTGTTAGTGGGCTGTTCCCTAGACCAGATGGATGGGAAGTTGCCTGCTCTTGTTGGGGTTACACTCCCTCTGAAGGTGCGGGTATGTAGCTTGGGGGTACTTCTGGATTCTTTGCTGTCGCTTGAGGCTCAGGTGGCCTCAGTGGTATGGAGTGCCTCCCTTCAACTTTGGCTGGTGGCCCAGCTGTGCCCCTATCTGGACAGGGACAGCTTAACTTCTGTACTCTATGATCTGGCAACCTCAAGGTTGATTACTGCAACATATTATACGTAGGGCTGCCTCTGAAGATGGTTTGGAAACTTCAGCTGCTGCAGAATTCGGCAGCCAGGTTGCTCACCAGGGCAAGACAGTTTGAGCATATTACACTGGCTGTTAGTTAGTTTCCGGGCTCAATTCAAAGTGCTGGTTTTGACCTATAAAGCCTTAAAGGACTGCAATACCTCAGTGACTGCCTCTTGCCATACAAACTGAGCTGGACCCTGCTATCATTTTCTGAGGCCCTTCTTCATGTGCCTCCTCCACAAGAGGTCTGGAAGGCGGCAACATAATGATGATGATGATCCCAGAGCCCAGAGAGCAAGACAGAGAGCTTAAAAGGGGTAAGGCCCACTCAGCATGCCTGCTCCAGAAGGTAAGGATGGTCGCATGGGGGTGATTCAAGTACACACTTTTTGCATTTACACACCATCCCCAAAATGTAATCCCTGCACAAGATGTGATCATACTGAATTTAGGATGGGACAACTATGTAAAGTGGGCAGTCATTTAAGATTATTTGCAGCACTTCCTACAACATAGTCTTAAAAACAAGGTGCTTTTAAAAGCAATGTATCTATATGACCGTTCATTACTACTACATCCTATAATTCTTTGCTTTATCATAATCAATATTGCAATTCAACCCTACATAGCTCTGAAAGGGACTTTTGCAACAAAATACAGAACAACAAATAATGCCAACTGGGCCACTGCTGCTGCCACTACCACCTTTGAAATACAATGCCGAAGTCTATCCTGCGGGTTTTATCACTGATTTATGTAAGCAGCCACATGCTGCAAGATGCTCTCCTTACATTGGCCTGTCTGTTGGTGAGGCTCCTTGAGAAGGCTACAAAGAATGAGATGGACAACATTGGTGGTTTCATCAGCACTCTTCCCAAGAGTATTCTTCAGCTGCTCCAAGTCCTTATGAATATGCTGCATGAGAAAGCTCACCGGATCCTGAACTGGTGGCTTTATGATCTGTAGTAGGGACTTCAATAACAGAATGCAATATTCAGAGCAATCAATGTGCAGTGCTATTGCAAGACATGCAGAGTACCAGTCAGACAAAACCTGAATTTTTGCACAAATCCATTAAGTGATCTTTGCATATCTTTATAGTAAAGACTCTTGGCTGCAATTGTGGGAACTAGCATCTGCTATGACCTCCCCTTACATAACCCGAGGAGACTTGATTTTTCAAGTAACTCAGTTCTGAATACCGTATTTTTTGCTCTATAGGACGCACCCGACCATAAGACACACCTAGTTTTAGAGGGGGAGAACAAGAAAAAAAAATCTCTCCCTCTCTGCGCAGCGCCCCTTCAGCGAAGCGGCAGGAGAAACGGAGCCCCTTCCATTTCTCCTCCCGCTTCGCTGAAGGGGTGCTGCACAGAGAGGGAAAGCTGCGCAGCACCTCTCCAGCAAAGCGATGCCAGGAGAGCAAGAGGGATCGGTGCGCACCGATCCCTCTTGCTCTCCTGGCTTCAGCGAAAGCAACGCGAAGCCTCCAGAGTGCAGCGGGAGCTCCCACTGCACTCCAGAGGCTTCGAGTTGCTTTCGGCTGAAGCCATGGAGCCTGCATTCGCTCCATAAGACGCCCACACATTTCCCCTTAATTTTTGGAGGGGGAAAAGTGCGTCTTATAGAGCGAAACGTATGGTAAGTCTTCATCAGCTCCCTCCCAGCAATGCATATCCTGTAGAATCGTATGGCAATAGTTTTCTTTTAAAAATACCTGAGGATTTTCTGTGGCTCCCAGAAGTAATGCCAAATGAGTGAGCAAGCGAATCAAAATTAAGACAGCTGGTGACATCTCCCTCTCAGAGGCTATATTGCCTCCCCTTTTTTCAGGGTCTCCAAGAACATGGCCAGTTTGTGTCCTATCGTGCTCAATCCTGAATGGAATAATGCATAGTGAAAGTGCATGCTTGCTACAAAAAAAGAGATTTAAGATCTATGATTTGCAGACAGTGTGAGTCAGTAATTGCTATCTCATGGGATGATCGATCTAAGGTTACAAAAGGCAAGGATTCAACTTATAGGGACATACTGGCATAGTTTGCAAATACCACTAATTGAAAACTTATTAATCAATAATTTAATTAGAATTCCAAGAGTTGGAAATAAAAACCTACAAAGTTTTCTGAAATCCTGGCAATGCCATGTGGTTGTCACCTCCGATTGGCTCATTACAATCAACACATCGACCAGTTTGCATAGGAAAACCACACTGGAAGAAAGACAAGAGCAAACATTACAACCAAAGTAGCTCAACCTATGTGGCTCTGCTTACCATGAAGTCCAACTGACCCATGGTCAAGATATGTCTCCCCTTCTCCAAGTGTGTAAGCAACTGTGAAAACTCCCAGCAGGATATAATGCAAAGAGAAAACAAATACAGACAAAATACAGCACAAATAGCAGTTAAGGTGATAAACTTGATCAAGGACATAATTAGTGAAAGCTCTTACCTCTCCAATAACACAGGGGTGGCCATTTCGACATGCTAATTTGAGGAGGGAGGGGAAAGTAGAGTCAGCATAATGGTACAGTGAATGGAACACAGAGCTACCCTAAGCTACACTCTGGCAGTCTTCTCTTACCCTCCATGTGTTGTTGGATAACTTAAAACCATACCCCAATTTACAGATAGTTCCCACTCCCTCCCTCTCTTCCTCCATTTTATTATTTACACTCTGCCTGAGGACAGTTGCTAAAAAAACCCGAAACCTAGCTGACGTATCCCCTCTCACTTTTCTCTCATATTTTATATATCCATGCAGATAGCAGCTAAAGTTGAAACCTAGGATGGGCATGACAAGTAAAGAGCCTATTGGATTGGTATATAAAACCCAATGTCTTTATAATTGCTCATAACACAATTGTACATTATGTGGTCTGAGGCAAGTAATCAAAATATATTACTTGAAATGCATTTGCTGGTTGGTTGGTTGGTTGGTTGGTTGGTTGGTTCTTCCATCCCTCTGAACTTTACTCCCCAATCCCTTCCATAGTATGGAATGATATGCTATTTATAAGATAGACGGGCTAGTGCAGTATAATTTGACTAAAGAATATGGTATCTGGAAGCAGCAAGATTTCATGTTCCTTAATTTTCACTTTCTGGAAAACACCTCTGGAAAAATAGCTCTCTCTAGCTCACTCCCAAGGCTGAACATGATACTTACTATACCAGGTTAAGCTTTCTGTTTTCAGACACTCCCTAGCTTGAGCAACTATGTCTTCAGGCATTGTTGGAAGAAAAGCTTTCTGCAGAGAGAGGGTTAATCAAAGCGATATTACTACAACATACAATGGAATATTTTCTTATGACTACGACCAAATTGATTCAGAGGACTTGTTAACAGCTCACTCATTTGCTCAAGTAACCAAGGAGGACACATCTGAGATACTACAACAGGAGTAGCCAATGTTGTGCCCTCCAGATGTTGCTGAAATGCACCTCTCATCATCTCTAGCCAATGTTGGCTACCACTAAAACATGCTGGCCACTAACAGAAACATAAGTACTTAAGATCCGGCCAGTGGTCCATCTAGTCCAGCATCCTGTTCTTACAGCAACCAAAAAGATGTTTGTGGGAAGTCTGCAAACTGGACATGAGAACAGCTGCACTCTGCCGACCTGAGATTCCCAGCAGCAGCTGTTAAAAGGAATACTGTATCTGACAGTGGAGGTAAACCAGAGAAATGGCTAGTAGCTGTTGATGGATTTGTCCTCTATGAATTTATCTAATGCAGGACGAGGGAGACAACGAACTGTATTCCAGAAGTGGCTTTTATTTAATCTGCAAACTTAAATATAATGTGGAAATTAACAGTTAGGGAAACATTGTGAAACTAGAATAAACTGCCACATGAATGCAATCTTAATGTTTTTATCAATGTGCTCCTTTAATTCTTTTAGCATCCTTTACTGTCTGCTTGTTTGCACTTTCTTTTGCCAATGTTTGTGTTCCTTTTTGTTCTCTTCATTTGAACAAGCCTTCCTTTTTTTTTAAAAGACAGCTTCTTGCCTCTTAATTGCTTATTTGCTCGTTATTCACACTGATAACATTGGCAGTTCGACTCCTCGTGATGGGGTGAGCTCCTGTCCCAGCTCCTGCCAACCTAGCAGTTCGAAAGCATACCAATGTGAGAAGATAAATAGGTACTGTTGTGGCAGGAAGGTAAATGGTGTTTCCATGCACCCTGGCACTCGTCATGGTGTTCCATTGTGCCAGAAACGGATTAGTCATGCTGGCCAAATGACCTGGAAAAGCTGTCTGCAGACAAATGTCGACCCCCTTGGCCTGAAAAGTGGAGATGAGCACCGCACGTCATAGTCAAATTTGACTGGACCTAACTGTCCAGGGGTCTTATAGTACCTTTCCTGATATGTAGTATATACCCCAGTTGAGCTTCTAACTCCCAAGCATTTTGGAGTGAGTTGAAATCACTTTGCCTTTCAACCTCTTTTTTTTAACCAATCTCCTCATTTTGGTGAAATTTCTTCTTTTGAAATCAAATGTGACCGCGTTGGCTCATCTTGGCTATTGGCCATTTATATGCATGCTTAGTTTAATAGGGCTATGGTCAATCTCCCACAACACCTACATCTTGCATCAGGTCCAGAATGCCGCTCTAGATTCATGGCCAACTGTTCTAAGGCACATTCATTTAGGGTATCTAGAAATGTTACCTCATTGCACACCGTCAGTTCCTCCAAAATAACACAATGGGAAATGCAAGTAAAGCAGTAATGAGTGCAGGAACTGATGGGAATTGCAAAGGAAAACGGAAGATTCATTTCTTTACCTGCATGGTACAAGGTGAGAATGCCAGATTCCTTAAAGGTTCAAGGATTCGATTCTGGCCAGACAGCAAGACAGCAGCAGTGTGAATTGCCATTTCAATCACTACCCTCTTGTGGCTGGAATCTTGGGGGCTCAGTGCCAGTGAGGGGGGATGGTTATCCATCAGAGATTCTGCAAATCTCTCCAACTCTGGAGAAGGAAGAATGTTGGAGCTCTGGATGAACTCCTTGATAACATCACGTTGCTGAAATAAGAAGAAAATTATTTCACAAAAAGTAAGGTGAGATTTGTCAACTAGACTCACTTCAATGGATTTTCAAATGAAAGTTGGGGGAAACGACAGCCTTTGCTCAGTTCTGTAATTGATATCCTAAATCTTCCTCTCTCCTAAGGAAGCAGCACTTGTGCACAAGGCAACATGCAAACTGGCACCAAGGCAAAGACATTTACCTTCTGCTTTGGATGAAGACTTGGCTCCTTGCATCCATACAGAGATGTGAACTCTCTGAAGACAGCCAAGAGAAAATGAACAGCCAGGGAAGACTTGGAGCCATTACTTTCCTGAAATCAGAATGTGGAGAGGAGAAGAGGGCAGGAAAGAGAGATTACCAAGAGTAAAACTTACATCTTTAGCCAGCAGCAGTCATGGATATTAGTGCTGGGCATTGCAGAAAACAAAAAAGTACCAGATCGCAAATATTTTTAAAAGTGCATTGGTCCAAATATATCTATAGAATATATATGTGTGGCCAAAAAGGAAACAAAAGGCACAACTTTGTAAAAGGTTTCCTGAAACTTCCAATTTGGTAGTCAATAAGGTCCTATCAGCTATAGCAAACATATTTCAGTTTGCCAAATTTCTCCCTGTAGGTAGCCCCACCCCAATATGGAACACGATATATAAAAGCACACTATGAAATGGCACTGTGAAGAAAATCAGCCACTAATAATGATTTTATAGTAGAGTCAATGTTTCTAATATGACATGCAGTACACTGAAGCTCAGATCCTATTTGCTAGCCTTAACATTCCAGTCAATGCAATAAAGGTTTGCAATCTGATAAGCCCTGGGAGAGAGTATCAGAATACAGCTTGGGACAATTTAAATATAAGTATGAAAACCACTTTAATACAGCCCAGATCTAGAAGGAAAGAAGGAATGGAAAATCACCAGAAGCACATGAAATCCTAAATGCTACATGTCAGGGAACTGCCATCAGTACTGGAGGGAGAGCGCAAAAGCCAGAGGGATTCCAGAGGGCATCCAGGGATCGGGAGAAGCAGCCCATCTTCTGGGGAAGAGAATCAGCGTAGCACCAGTGGAGAAGGGGGGCAGGTGGGGGAAGTGGCGAGGCGGTCTCATGACTCCTTGCCTGGGATCAGCGAGGAGATTAGGGGTCCTCCGTTGCCCACGCCCTCCCTCCGCAGAAGGCTTCTGCGCAGAGAAGGTAGGCAGAGACTAAGCGTCAAAGAACTTCTTTGCTGGAAGAAGTTTAAGAAACGCCCACTCACGGATTCTGCCAGCGATTGAGTCAGCCACGGACGAGTGGCTGTCCGGACAGAGGAGGTTCACTTTGGCAGCCCAGCCAGGTGTTTGCACCCAGCCAGGAAGATAGGCACCTGCTTACGCACGAGCAACCCCCTTAGGAACCATTACACTACAGAATCAGAGACAGTCCTCTTTATGTCAATATGGAAGAGCTGTTTTGGCCAGAATTAAATAGCTGTACCTTCAAGGCTGCTGCAATGCCATCCGCCTGGCATTCTATCACTGCTTTTCCCAAAGCATCACGCACCACTTTATAGTTCTTGCCATGTACCAGGAACTGATCAATCTGACTGGACTGAGATTTCTGAGGCACAGAGTACAAAAAGTCAGTTGTTTAAAGCCTAAACACTATATAGCATGTGATACAACTGAATATCAGACATGAAAACACTGTTGCTTAAAAAAAAGAAAAGAGGGCATGAGGTTGGGGGGTGGAAGAAAGCTGAGAGGAGGGAAAGGGACTCTGCTCTTCTATTATAGCAATGTGTAAAAACCCTAATAAACCATAGATAAGAAATAAGCAAACATCAAAGCAAATTGTATGAATATCATATCACTATGATAGGATCCATGGGTCATTCAGTATGAACTCTTTGGTACAAAGCAGGATTCACTATACTTAAAAGTATCTCTGAAAGATGCCCTTGTCATACCTTGATTCCATTTAATCACTATCCTCTCTGGGCAAGTCATCACATTCTCAGCCTAAGCAAAATACATTCGTTTAAAAAAATAAATCCCCCTTAACATACACACCATTTGACCATTTCTACTTTATCCAAACTAGTGCCCAAGAATTAATAAGATGGTGAGTGCTCAAGATAGAGCTGTACTACCTGTTGAATTATTTCTGCTGGAAATATCCAGCTAAACTCGGATTCATTAGAAAGTCTCTGTGTGAACTCCATCCCATGTTGTTTAGTAAGTGTGCGGATAAGGTAAACTCGGTACCAGTCATTTTGAATCTGACTGCAGAACTGCTTCACTTTTTGCAGGTAGTGTTGCTTCTCTGTTTCTTGACTACTAGCTGGAGAGAGAAAGGAAAAAGGAAAATGTTTCTGAATTATGCTAAGCTATTAATACCCAACATGTTTCTGTGCGCTCTGGCTTCCATCACGGTGCTCCGTTGTGCCAGAAGCGGTTTAGTCATGCTGGCTACATGACCCAGAAAGCTGTCTGCAGACAAACGGTGACTCCCTTGGCCTGAAAGCAGAGAAGAGCGCCGCACCCCATAGTCGTCTTTGACTGGACTCAACCGTCCAGGGGTCCTTTACCTTGACCCAACACTTTCAGAAGCACTGAGAACAACAAATATCATACAAAGCTTTGCATTCAAAAGAGAGCACAAATCTACTGGTAGGAAAAAGACAACTACAGAAGCACAGAACCAGTATTTCGTTTTTCTGTTAAATATGGACACAAAGGATAAACCCATCCTGTAATTCATCTAGCGGCAGGAACTCTTTCATACACCAGTTATTTGGTACATATTTTATTCCGGTTTAACAGAATCCCACTTGCCTGAAGTTCCATGAAGTTCAAAGAGCAGCTGTGCAGCCCTATCCATACACAGGCGGGTGTGGGCCACTCCCTGCAAGTACTCAATGGTGACTTCTTGAGAGGTTTCATGGCTGCTCCTGCTTTGCTTTATGTAGTTTGTTAGGAAGCGTCCATCTTCTCTCAGGCAGTTTGCCTTGCTTTTCTCTGAGGAGGCTCCCAATTTCTCACACATAGAATCCTGAAAAATGAAACATAATGTTTTCCAGTTATTGCTCACCATTGCTCACCATACCAATCTTTGTTAAATCTATTGAACGAAGCATTTCTTATTACTGCGTGCATTGACACTGCTAGAAAATAAAGTGCTCAGGGCTTTTCCACATTTCCCCTTGTCCCATGCCTAGAAAGTACAGGTCCAAACAGTTTTCTGTTTGTCTCATGCTTTGTAGGCACAAATCCGAGAAGTTCTGCCTTTGCCTTGCCATGGAAAAAGAGCTCTTTGGTGCTAAATCTGAACAAACAGCAATCTGCAGAAAACCCAGTTGCTGTTGGTTCTGATTCAACGCTAAACTGTGGGTTTTCCCAGGGGGAAGTGGCAAATGGAGGTGTGGATAAGCCATTAGTGTTAAGTTGTGGGTGAACACATCAGACGACACAGTAATTATTCAAATAGCTCTTGTTTATTCACAGACCCAGAACAGAACTGAACTGAAGGGTTCAGCCAGCCTGCTTATATAGAGCTCCACTACAACGCAACAGTAACAACTATCCAATCATTGAATGTCTCTTTCAATTCCTTATTTGCATATGTGGACCTGAGTGAAAACTATCTACAGTATCCCCCCTGCTGGCCCAGGGTGAGAACTTCAGTACATAACACTTAGTATTGTAGGGAGAATCTTAAGTGACCCTAGTCATCCACTTCAGAAAGCAAAACTTGCAGAGGCATCTGAAACCTTGGCTGGGAGGACATAATTATTTGATTTTATCATGCCCATATTGAAGGCTCTAAGGAATGGCTTCCCTTTCAGAGGCTTTGCTTTTACCCTTCTTTAACCAGTCTGGTTAATTAGGCAGGGAAGGTTTTCCTAATTGTTCTTTATTCAAGTTTCACTTAAGTGGGGGAAAGGGCCACATGAGCCTTAAGTACTAAGAAGCATGCCACATATTTCCAAATATTCCTCAAGCAGAACTCACTTGGTCACAATGAGGCACAGCAGCCTGTTCACTCGTTTTTCGTACTGTAGCTGCTTCTCATTTTTCCACAGAAGACAATGGACCGCTGCAATTTATTAGACCAGATAGCCAAAAAAATCTAGTCTAATCAGTTGCTCTCCTGTACATGTATACAGGCAGAGCTGACCTTATAGATGCTGCATCTCTGTTTCTGAAAACCCACATAACCTGAGACTATGGCAAAGCAAAAAGAAACTGAAAGTATACAGGGAGCACAGCACAGGTCTTACAGAAACCTTCCTCAATCTGGAAACTTTCAGACAATGCCCTTTGTCCCTGACAATTGGGTCATGCTGGCTGAGGCTGATGGGAGTTCAAAACATCTGGAGGTACCTTGAAAAGTTATGGGGAAAATATACTTACCTCAAGGCAGCTGGCAAACAGCGTGTACAGTACTGTCTTGTCTTCTTTGTCTAGGTTACATATTGATTCTGCTTCCGATAAATATTTTTGAACATGGACTTTCACATCATTGAAACTATAGAAAAAGAGAAACCTCGCCTTATTAATGAACAGGCACATGCTTTTCTATTCTAAAAATGAAAGGATACCTCCACTATCAGAAGTATGCATTCAGATGAAGTTGTACAACAGGGCTAAGGGGGAGAGCCTTCAGAGTTTCAGAAAAGCAATAGCTGAACTCATATGAGGACCACTACGACATCAAGGAAATCAGAGCAGGTATCAGTGGGGTGAACACTGAAGGAGAAGCAGGGTATATAGCTCCCAATTTGCACGTCCCAGATAAAAGTCCCTTACCTGTATTTTAGAAGCAACTTTAGCACCACAGAACGGATTACAGGGGTTTTATCCACCACATCGTTAAAGGGGGATAGAGTTTTTGTGTACACACTGTAGTCATTTGGACCTAAAGAAATAATGAAACATGGTACAGAGACATGAAGAAGTCAATACGTTCAGGGTAGGGCAAATTGCTGGGAGCACATGAACATACCTTTCAAAGCTGGCTTGTGAACAAACAGGAGGTTCAACAGCTCTTGGATCACAGCTTTTGCTGGGGGTTCATTGTCTTTGAAACACATAGTAGAAACCAGCTCTATGAAAAAACTGTTGCAACACTTGCGGAACCCGGTCATTTTTTTAATGGCAACACTGTGGTGGTGGAAGAGAATTGGGGAGAATTACTTATCTAGTCAACTGCAGAACTTGCATCACATAGTTTGTGGGCAATGCTAAAAATGCAAGGCCAACAGAGTGTTATAAGCTGGACCTACAAATAAGGTCAAGTTTAGGGGTCAATCCAACTAGCCATGCCTTCTTGCAGGATACACCATTTCATTACACATTGCTATGTTTTGAAGGGTTGCTCCTTAAGGCATTTTTCTAAAGGTTTTATGTACTTCTGCAAACCTTGGGGTTCCCCTGAACCTGTAAATTTCACCTTGTTGTGTGTGCATTATGCCATTTTAGCTACCCAAAGATCGTCCCCGCTCCAACAAACATTGATAATAGAGGGAATGATTAAATCCTCAGAAATTAAGGGCCAGAAGCTGAAATTATCACCAGAACTACCAACTGCTGTGGGATATAAATGCAATCAATCCAATCAATAAGGCATTACCGGATCTCCTCAGATACTTTGGGAGAATAGTCATCTGGTAGTTCAACTTTGCAAAATGGACAGCTCATCTCTCCTGGTACCAGCCGTTGTTTTATGCATTGATGACAATAAACATGATCACAGGGAAGGTGGACTGGCTCCCTAGGATCTTCCAAACAAATTGGACATGGCCTCAAACCATAACTGTGAATATAACACAAACATGTATGTGGGTTTAATGTATATTTAATTATAGCTCACTGCCCAGGTCAGCGACAAGGAAACAGGCTTAGGAGCTACATGAAATTCTTTGACTGTTCCATTGCTGTTCTTGAGTCATCATAAGTGCCTATATATTTTGCAGTTACTGGCATCCTACCCAAGATGCCTGCACACCAACTGCTCCTTTGACTATGAGTTGGCAGGTCTCAAGGCACACAAAAGGGATGGGTGCTGCTGCTGACATGTCTGAGGCAGTTACAGCAGGGTGGGAAGTAAGTAAGTGAGGAATGGGAGGTGTGCAGGAATACTACTAGGCAGAACACGCTTACTGGGCAAAATAGCAAGATGTGTATGGGGTGTGTGTGCTGTTAGTAGCCAAGGGGAAGGTTGGGTTGGTCCATGCAGTCTATACGGCATGTTCCAAAACATACAAACAATCATGGGGTTGTACTCTTAAATATAAAATGTATGGTGTTCCATCTGTCTAAAGCTCCTCCCAGTGGCAGAGCTTCAAGCTCCGGAAGGGGGGTGGGGTGGAGAGAAGGCGGGGGCATGGCTGACACGCGTCCCAGGGGAGTGGCGTGTGTCCCGGGGGCGTGATGTGCTGCCTGTGGAGGCGTGGCGCCCAGCGCAGGGGGGAGGAGCAGCCGCAATGGCACGCCACCGGGATCGTGCCGCTGGGGGCGGTGCGCTCCCCCCGCACCCCTGTTCCTCCGCCAGTGGCTCCTCCTGCAGTCCCTGCCCTCTTGGCATCCATGCGTGGGCACTGAAGCTGGGGGTGGGAGCAAAAGGCAAATGCCTCACGACATACCCAACACCTGTCTGTTGCTGTGGCTGAGCGATTAAGAAACTACTCCTGCTCTTTTACCACTGGTTTTTTTTGCTAGGCATGCAAAAGGTGCGTGGGGCTATATTACCCCTTCTCCCTTGTACTCTGCCCTGTTTGGTAAGCCACTCCCTCACAGCAGATCTGTAAGCCCTGCACAGGGAGCTATGTGAGTACTGTGTTAAGAGGACTCTCATTTCTTCCGTTTGTGCACTATGTTCCAAGAGTGAGCATGAAGGGACTTGAACCACTGCTTGCAGGTATGCCTGAGAATTTGCACTAGTGAGGTCATTTGGGCTTGGTAGTGGCATTTCTCTCCCCTTCCTAATCATAATGAGTACAGGATTACATAGCCTGCCCCCAGTTCCAGGATCCAAGGGGAACCGAAAAGGCACTCTCATAAAATGGAATGGGCTCATCCCAAAGGCATTACCTGCAAAACACTGAACTGGCATCCTCCTTGCACTGACATAGGATATCCATGACTGCACAGAATGTGTTATGGGTTTTAATGTCTGAACCCCCTTGAAAACACTAAAAAGAACAAAAGCAATAGTATCACATTCCAAAAGTGAAGTTTAAAAGTATAGGAACATACAGATAAAACTATCCTGTTCCACTCGGTTCTAAACACTTATCACCACAGTAACTACAATAACACTGCTCTGTTATGGTCTTTGTGTCGAATGCTTTTAATACTGGTTTAGATACAACAATTCTCATGTTTTATGTTATTTGCCTTCTTGAATTTTTGATGATGTTGATGCTCTGTGTTAAAAAAATAAAATGAAAAGGATGTTGCTTACTTCCTTAGTACAATAAAGAGATGCTTTGCACCAAGTGAGAATAGAGTTCTTACTTTTCCAAGGCGCGAGGTGAACTTTTTTACCAGGTTCTTCACCTCTGGAATCTGCATTTCCACTCCAAGGAGCACATGTTCCACGAAGAGGGAAAGTGAGAAAATCCTATTCCATTGGCTCCTGTGTTGAGGAGGAAGTCCAGAATTAGACAACCTGCCCAGCTCTTCAAAAGAATGTTTGCGCAAAAATAGCAACTTGAGAAAACATGTGACCATTTTTGAGGAAGATGTAGCCTGGATAGAAATTGCAGGTGGATGAGGTGGAATTACAGTTCACCTACAATTCAATAGCAAATAAATTCTGCTACTGAAACAGGTGGAATCTACAGGTTGTGAGTGAGATTTATTGAGTAGAGAGGCAGGCCAATGTAATAATCATTCAGTATATCAGGAAAGGCTTTCTGGCAAAGGAGGCATAAAAACCAAATGAGGGACAGGAAATCAAAACATAAACTTGAATATTAATCAAGGCTGCTGGCAATCTCACATAGTTCTACCCATCTTAAATAAGATCTTGTATCTAGAGTTTATAAGGAAAGAAAGCAAAAGGCTTTGGCTGTCATCTTCCAAATTGTTGGTTTAATACTGGGAATTAATGGTCTATACAGTGGCACCTTGGTTTTCGAACAGCTTAGTTCTTGAACTACTTGGAACCTGAATAATTCAAACCCGGAAATGAATTTTCCAGTTTCCGAACTTTTTTTTGAAGCCGAACATGCTCCGTTCTGAGTCTAACTTCCATTTTGAGTGCCACACTTCCATTTTCCGGCAAGTGAGCAGGCAGCCGCTGCCACAACAACCACCCACTCCTTCAGCAGTCCCGGCGCTGAGTGAGGGAAGGCTGGGCTGGGTGGCAAGCGAGCAGGTAAGGGATGTCGCTGCCGCTGCCGCCGCCACCACCACCCAGCCTGCTCTTGCTTGTAGCAAGTAGAAGCGGGAGCAGGGCTGCTCCGATAGGCAGTGCGAAGCCTCCCTTCCCAGCTGAGAGATCCCACCCCTGCTCCTGCTTGCACACAAGTAGGAGTGGGATCGGGCAGCTCAGCTGGGGAGCGCCTGGCTGCCTTCAGGTGGTGCAAGGGCTCTCAGATGCAGCTTCCGGTCTGCCTCCACTTTCTCTGACCCCAGCAACTATTCACCCCCATTGCCTTCAGGTGGTGCAGGGGCTCTGAGGCGGAGGTGGGGGCTCCTTTAATCTTCTCCCTTGAGGGGAGTACAGCCATGAACCCCTCAATGGAAAGTGTGATGGAGCTTGCACCTCCCCAGCTGAGCAGCCCCGATCCAGCTCCTGCTCCTGTGCAAGCAGCAACTGGTTGGGGGCCCCTACACTACTTGAAGGCAGCCAGGCTGAATAGTTGCTGGGGTCGGGGAAGGTGGAGGCAGCACGGAAGCTGCATCTGAGAGCCCCCGCACCACCTGAAGGCAGCCAGGTGCTCCCCAGCAAACCAACCAGAAATGAATCAAAATCACAAGAAAACATAAAACACTGACCCTGACCCTAATTCTAATCCTAACCCTAACCCTAACCCAGAAATGCTCTTGTTAGATAGTAAAATTCACATTAAATTGCTGTTTTAGGGGTTGTTTTAATCCGTTTAATCCGTTTAATCCGGTTGGATTAATCCGTTTTGCATTACTTTCCATGAGAAAGTGCACCTTGGTTTTGGAATGCTTTGGTTTTGGAACAGACTTCTGGAACAGATTAAGTTTGAGAACCAAGGTACCACTGTACTTAGCTTAAGAGAAAACAAAGATCTCTTTCCAGTCACCTGTAACATATCTAGCATCTCATATTTAGCTAAAAAAACCAGAGTAGAAAGATGATACAGAATGCTGAATAAAATATTTCTCTGCATGTCCTGTCCTCTAACATTCCCAAACATCTTCCTGCCTCAGAAATCCATGTCGACTTAATTTAAGGTCCTTTAGTAAAATCCAGATAAACTCCTTGTTTTGCGGGGAGTTTATTTATTATTATTTATTAACTTTTTATGCCACCCTTCATCTGAAGATCTCAGGGTGGTTCACAACATAAAAATACAGGATAAAAACATGAAATACATAGTAAAAACAAGAACATTCACATGTTGCTCATTCCAAGCAAGAAGATTGTGTTTGCAAGTACAGTCATACCTCAGGTTAAATACGCTTCGGGTTGAGTTCTTTCTGGTTGCGATCCGCAGCGACCCAGAAGTAACAGAACGCATTACTTCCAGGTTTCGCCGCTCGCCCATGCACAGACGGTCAAAATGACATCACACGCATGCGCCGAATCGCAACCTGCGCAGGCACGGGTTACATTCGCTTCAGGATGCAAACGGGGATCCAGAACGGATCCTGTTCATATCCAGAGGTACCACTGTATACAGAACTACAGGGGATGGGGTGGCTGAGTCTGTTTGCTTCAACGCAGATGGCAGCCTGTCTTTGGTGATGGCACCTGAGTCCAACTCTCCAGTGCTTCCTCTACCTCCAGTTTGGTCCATGTGACCTACCTGAGTTCCTGGAGCAGCTGGTCACATCGGGTCCCATTGCTTTGAATGTAGTTTGCTGTACACACAAGTTCAATTGGCATTTGAAGCTTCTTCACCTGCTGGAGCCACGTTTGAGATCTGCAGTTCAACAGTTTTTCTTCCAACATCTCAGTGCAAGCAATTGCAGCAAGCACATCCAGAACCTAAGCAATCAGGCATGAACAGGGCTTTAATACAGACATGGACAATAAATAATAGTAACATTTATTTCATTTTTAAAAATCGGGTGTGAAAAATCAAGTTATGACTCTTTTCCTTTCATTAAGCAGAATAAATAATTCAACTGCCAATCTGGAAAATGTGAGAACCTGCTCTCAAGCCGAACTATGACTATCCACATTCCTAACTCAATAAGCAGATCATGACTCTTCTGTATTAGCCACAATCTTCATAGCTGACTTCCCTGCAGATTATGTCAATAGAAAAGGTGAAAAACATTTCCACTTAGTTTTCTGTTATGGGGTGTGTTTTTTTTTGGTTTTTGGCAAAACGGAACAGACACATTCCTTTAGTCTTTCTTTTTAAGATGTGCATTTTATTCTTCACTTGGTAAATTTACATTAAACTTTTTACACCTTGTTTAGTCAGGAATTTTCATTGGAATCCTACTTCATTTGTAAGCTTTCCCTATCATAGATCAATCTAATTCCTGCACTTGTAAGGAGACTGTGGTTTGTGCTGATTGTATGTATTTACAAAAGAGACTAATTATCAGAGCATCAAAGAACAAATAAGATACATAAATGTTAAAGCCTTGTGTGACTTTCAGCAATCGCCCTTAAAAGATATTATCATTTTCCCTAACATTTTAAAAACACACTTTTTCTAGTAGGACTAAAATATTACCACCCACCCAATATGATTCCTACCATTTGGCGATGCAAGAAGCTGTCTCCTTTCTCAATATGTTCTGTGAGAGAATTGGACACATCAGGGTACACAGCAAGAATCCTGGAAAGGTTTTGCAGACGACGACTAAACTGACGGTAACAAAGATGGATAAAGGGGAGGGGCAGCACCCTCTCTTCTGCATTGGAAGAAGCAGCCTTCATTTCCTCCATACATGATAAGAGAGCTGTCTGCAGCAACTAGAAATTGAAAAACAATGTCACTGGAAGCAAATCTTGTGCGGTAATATCTACAGATTCTTATGTAGATGAGACTTTTATCTTTAGAATTATAACACATTCAAGAAAACTGTTTCAATCATGCATGTATTACTGGGGTAAAATGTATCTCACTCCACAGGTACAGGGACTTTTTCTCACTTTTGTTTACAGCAGTTGGGCGTGTACACTTTGGAGCTAGTTTACCTGAAAACACATTTCATAGTTTAATTTTTGGTGAGCTCGTCTGAACACAGAAGACAGACATTAAACCTCTTTAGATGCAAATGCCTTGCTTAGGCTGCTGTCATTCCAAGAACCACCTGACTGGGGAAACAACTTGTCAGAAACTTCTACCGTAGGGAATTTTCCAGTAGATTGAAGGCAGAGTCAAAATAAAGTAGGAGGGGATATTTTGTGCATTGATCTACTTGCCATGCTACTGTAAAATGAAAGTGAAGGGGAAGAAACCCCTCTAGTGTTGTAATGATTTCAACTCAAAGAAACATCCCCAAGGGTTGGAAGTCGAAATCAAATTTTTAAGTCATCCTAAGGGATAAATACAGGACAGGAGGTTATATGTGCAGGCGTATTTAAGTAGCTACACCTCAAGATCCCCCAGCTGATGCAGTGAGAGAATACTGAATATGGAACAGCTAGGACAGGGAAGTGGGGACAAAATCCTACTTGTTGAGATCTAACAGCATGAGCTTTCAAGCAGTCTGGAATTTTCTTCATTCAGATAAAACAAGTGTGTGCAATCACCATCTCATTCCATGTCTGTGTGATATTCATCTACTTTAGCCATATGCTGCTGAGGTATGTGTTTCAGTCAAACACTACAGCACACATCTCCTGGGCATTACAACTGGCACACACAATGTTCTAAGCATCTTGATGTCTCATGTTGCGGTACTTACCTTTAGCTCCTTATGAGAAGAAACACCCATTGTCAGGAGGATGAAGTCTCTGACGTAACAGTGAAAAAGGTGCTCCCTCTCTTCCTCAGGGAGATCAGCAATATATTGCCCCAGTGGTTTCTTCTGAAAGATGCCTACAAATCTGTCTGTAGGACAACAGTAGAATTGGAATATTTAAGTTATATGAAAATTTTAATTACTATAGCATCTCACCGGTGCTACTTTATTAAAGCATATTGCTCTATAATTTTCTTATCAATTTCCCATAACACTGGAAACTGCTCTGTTGTTTACAGTGGCTGGTCAAGATTCCCTGCTAAATCTCCTAGACTTTTTAAACTATCTATTTTAATATAAAACCTGGCATGTCAAGTTTGGGCAAAGATTTGAGCGGGGGCAGAACTGTGTCTCATTTTAGCAATGTTTTTAGTAGTCATCAGTACCCCAAATTATTTTTAGCAATACCCCTCAAGCCATAACAAGCTGCTTCTGGCTGTTTCCATATGGGAGGGGACAAATAACCCCTCAATGAATGAAAGTGTTGAGGGGGTCCACAGAGCTGTAGAGGCTAGCCTCACATACTGCCATTCTCTCACACCATGCCCATACTCCCCTAACAAATGTTTGTCAGAGAGAGTTTTCCCAGGTTATAGATGGATGTGTAGAAAGCTCATCTACACATGAGGAGAGACACAAGCCAATCCAGGATCCCTCCTACGGGTAATTCTCTGTGTGTTCCCTCTGGATTCTCACCTTCATTACCAGGGATGTATTGAGCTTGAACCCAAAGATCTTCCAAATAATCTTTTATCTTCCAGCTGAAGGGCATTTCATTGCCAGCACCTGTTGATTTCTTAAAGTAGCTCTGCACCAGAATAGTCTCAGTTTGGGAACTGGGCAAGACACATGTAAATTAAGTTAGCAAGCTAGAGATATCCCTTACTAAGCAGGAAGCTCAATGTTTTGTTTCAGCACTTAGAAAGAAGCAGGTAAAGAGTTATGTTTACCAATCCTTGAGTTTTGATCTCTCAAAAAAGCATTTGACAACCACAACATTATTCCTTTAAGGAGATCTGGCTCGTAAGTCATACCCACTGAGAAATGTGCTGCCAAAACATCATGGCATACAACTGGAACATTTTTTTTTTTTTTTTGGCTAACTGAATAAACAGCTTTCAAGATAAGTCCCTCACATGGAATCAAAATCACCTTCACCATTCACATTTTTGCAAGCCATCAATTCATTGGCAACCATTCATGCCTTCTTTATGCCACTTACTTGTTCTGGCCCATAATGTAAGGGATGTCCAGCAGCTTGAGATCATTGAAGATGAATAGCCACAGAGCTTTCACACACTTTTCTGTTGTTGGTCTGACCAATAGGTCCAGGTTGCAGTCACTGTCTAGGACAGACAACATATAGGCCATAAATGGAGTCACCACACTCTGGACCCGCTTCCACAGGGTGTCTCTGCAAGTGTCAAGAGAGGTAAAGGAAACAAAAAAGCAATACCCAATGTTAAGAAAGGCATACACTCCTTCAGGAACATTCTGACTGAACATTTCAAGGGAGAATGTTATGGAGAAAAGTGCTTGTGGAATGCTCTCCCTAGGGACGTTCATCTGGCATTTTCATTATATGTTTTCAGGTGCCCAGCAAAAATGTTTCTCTTCAATCAGGCCTTTGGCTGATTAACATTCCTCAGCCTTTCAAATGTGTTTAGTTGGGGGGAGGTATTTTTGTTGTTGTTTATGTTTATTTGTGCTTTTATCTTGTATTTTTATCTTGTGAACTGCCTTGGGATCTGTTGATGAAGGGAGGGTATATATATATATATATATATATATATATATATATATATATAGTATATATATATATTGAATATATATATATATTCAACCTAATTCTGCATTTCAACTATTCCTAGAACCTGTTAAATTGTGTCTTTGAAGCAAAGTAAATACATATTTTACTTCCAGGATTAATGGTACCAACAAAAATGGAATCAAATCCTTTGAAAGACAGCCAAATATTAACATAGCTTCCAGTGAACGCTTTTGATTTCAGTATTGTACCCAGTTACACTCACTGCAATGTACTGAACAGCTGAGATCTAAAGAATAACTCAGCTTTTTAGGCTCCTGCAAACACACCCAGAGATCAGGGGACCCCTCTGAAGCAGCACTTGATATAGTTGCAAGTAAAATCAGCACCCCCTCCATGTACACTTAAAATATCCTAAACATGTATGTACAAAGAGCTTCCTCGATAATGACTTATCTTTTTTAGAGCTGGAAAAAGTGTAGTGATTTAACTACTGTGTATACCTGAAAGTTCCTACTTCTTGGAGGGCATTGAGGTTTGATGCCTCTCGGCGTACCCACTCTTTCATGGTGTAAACATTTTCTTCTTGCTTCCCCAAAAGGCTCAACAGGCGAGTCTTTGTTATCTTCAGGAAGGAGGCTGAGGGGAAAGACAGCATAAAATTTGCCAACTGGCACTACTTATGGTTAAATTTCTGAAGCAAAAGCTCTGCACAGTGCAAATTAATTTTAGCTTCCCCCTTCTTCTGTTATGAATGTTCCCTATGAAATTATAATTTATAGAGCTGCAGGTATGGCTGTATAGTTAAGCAGTTACATTTATCAATATTCTATTATAAAATATGGAAAATCTATTTAGGACATAAATATATTTATTTATTGCATTTATATCCCATCATTCTGTGAAGGCATACAAGGTAAGTTACAGTTTTAAAATACTTTTTAAAACCCCCACAAATGAACAAATATCACAAAATACACAGACAATTCCCAATTTACATGGGGGTTATGTTCCAGGCCTCTGTGCATGTAACTGAAATCACATATATTGGGAGCACCCTGGAGAGTAGGCCTGGGCGATATATCAATATATCACCAAGGACCGGTTTGAAGGCCCATAGCGCAATATCGCCTTCACCCAGCGGTATATTGCGAGGGAAATCACCGCTGCTCTAAGTCCCTCTGTCACCTGTGCCTGGTGTGCTGAGCGGAAAACAATTTGCAGCTGGAGATTATTATACAGCTGGAAATTATTATACTCACAGAAGCCAAAGGTGGGGAAGGAGACTTCTTTAAACTACTCCGCAATGAGGGTCAGGTAGTTGCATGAAGCCCACCCCCCACCTTGCGTGAACCTGAGAGGCATCAGAGCTTACTCAGTTGGGGGGCAGGAGGCTTCCCTCTCCTCTCTCAGCTGAGTGGTTCAACGAAGCCCTACTGGAGAGTCCCTCCTGGCTCACAAGGAGACCCTCCCCCGAGCCCGAAGAAGATATCCTCTTTGGGCTCTGGGGTCTCCTCACAAGCCTGAGGTGCAGAGGGGCTTTGCTGAGGCCTCCTGTCTAACAGCTGGTGTGTGGGCTAGAGCAGCAGCTAAAGTCGCTTCCCCACACATCAGCTCTGCAAGTCGCCCTGTCCCTCCAGTGGGACAGGGAGATCCAAAATTACAAATTGTGATTCGGATCTGTGGAACAGATCAATCTGGCCCAAACTGGGACCCAACCCAAATCGGATTGAGGAGGGGGCCTGCACATTCCTATACCTTCCACTTCCAAGTGCTTCTAGTCCTTCATACCTTTTACGTCATCTTCCTGAGACAGAAGGCTAAGGAGGATTTCAATTCTCTTAGTACTGCGGCTGGCATCCTCGTTTTGATCCCTTAGCATGCCCACAGCTCTTTGCACACAGCTCCGTAGAAGAATGGTGGTGTCCAAGACTTGGGTCTTTCCAGGAATAGCAGGAAAGAAAAAAGACGATTAGTATCCTGCAACAGCACAAACCAAAGTCCAAGCCACAAGCTACCCTCTTAAAGAAAGAATACATATGGTAATTGTTGGAGGTCCTCCTTGCAGGACTTTTGTCAAGAAATCTGCTCAGGAAAGAGCAATCACATCCAGATAACACACAAAAAAAGAGCCGGTCATGTTGTTATGCTAACCAAAATAAATATATATTGCTAAAGGTTGGTGACTAGTAATGTCCATGGCCCTCTAGCAAAAGCAGGTGGCAAAGCAAGGATAGAGTGAATGCTGTAGGGGAGGCAATATATTCAGTTCAATTATTCCGGAGGTGATTAAAGGAAGGTAGTGGCTTGATTATAAATGTTCTCTGTGAAGAGGACTAGGCTAGTACAAGTGCAATATATTGTTAAAGAGCAAAAAACAAAACAAAAACAACAAAAACCAGAAAGGAATTAGTATTCCCATATAATTTAGAATGAGATAGGAAAAAAATTAAAAATACTAAAAGAATCATGTTCTTGGAAGTGCTTTATTGTCTGTTCCCAATGTCTGTAAGAAACTTTATTTTGTATCAGAGATTCATGGAGCAGGCACAAATAGGCTCCATCTAACCCCAAAGAAACAAGGGATAGAATTAAACACATTGGGTCTCAACTTACGGTCAGTTTTTGGGTTTCAGATGTTGCTGACCTCTCCACCCCCATCTCATCTTCCTCTTCTTCCATTCCCTCCATTATCACAGCTGCAACAACAAAGAAGGTGTCACACAGGGATGCAAGTTGCCTGCTGATAAACTTAGGGCAAGAATAGTCAATTTTCAGTTATTGTCCAGTTATTGCTGGACAACAACTCCACCATCCCTGATCATTGGTAGGGTTGGTGGGGGCTGGTGTAGTCCTTCGTTCAACAGTGAAAGCTCAAATTATTCTGTCAAAATTTGATACTGCATACATATATAAAACACAAGGCATATAGACACGCCTAGATGTTTTCTCACTTGTGTACTGTCTCTCAACATGCATTTATTCACATTCTTACTTTCAGGAGGCTCTGCAGAAAAGAGCTGGCTGATGGTGACATTTCTCAGGGCAGTTACATCAGAGATAATATCCTTGGATTTCCTCAGGTCATCAATATGCACAGACTGCCACAACCCTAGCAACAGAAAACAAGAGCATTTCTTGGTTGTCGGACCTCTTTACATTGTCAAGCTGCAGTAACTGAAACTAATCCCACAAATCTCAATCTGATGTTTCTCTGTGCACCTCTACAGGACCTGCCCTATCTGTGGTACCTTTTATTCACAACATGCTTTGTAAATCCATTACAGCACTCCTCAGAGTGGTTAGCTGTTCATCATCCAGAAGAGCTCTGCTGGGTGGTTTAACAAGGCAATGGTGGCAGAGAAGTAAGGTTTGTTTGCAGTTGCCACCGCCACATGGCAAGTGTGATTATGCACTCTCAGCAGCGCTCAGTCGCTTTTGGACTGAGACTTACACCACCTGACTAGCAGTCACCCAGCCTGAGCCCTGAGCTCCTTGGGAAATTAAGGCTAGATAGCCATCATAACTCAGCAGAAGTCCACTGTTGGCATATTATATGATGGCGATTAATAATAAAAAATGCACTCCAGTAATTATTCTAAATCTCTGAACACAGATAGTTCTACCTCCTTGAAATCCTACATAGGAACTTCCTCCTTCAGCTCGTGACAGTTTAGTGATGAAGAACACAAACACGGAGGTTTCACCCTGATCTGTTTTGTTGATTTCGTTAACAACTGAGTATCTGCAAGGGGAAGGAAATGGCTTCCATCAGTTTCACACAGCAGGGTTAAATACCCATCATAAAGTACCCACCAATCAATCGACATCTCCCATCATGATTTCAGTATTCATAAAGCTTACATTTCCACTCCATCCAACATAAAGTATTAGGATGCCTACTAAGTATTACATACACCATAAGAACACAAGAAGAGGCTACTGGATCAGGACAATGGCCCATCTAGTACAGCATCCTGTTCTTGCTGTGGCCCAGCAAATGCCTATAGGTAGCCTGCAAGAAGGAACTGAGCAAACAGCACTCTCTCCTCCTGTGGTTTCTAGAAACAGGTATTCATAAGGCATATTGCCTTCCACAGGGGAGGTACTACGTATCCATCAGGATTACCAGCCACTGGCAGCCTCAGCCTCCATGAATTTGTCCAATCCTCTTTCAAAGCCTTCCAAACTAGAGGCCACCAGTGCCACTTGTGGGAGCCAATTCTTTTGTCTGTCCTAAATCTTCCCAACAACTGACTTCACTGGATACCCATGAGTGGTAGTATTATGAAAGAGGGAGAAAAGCTGTTCACTATGTACATTTACTCACCATTTCTAAAATGTCTGAAATGCTACAACTTTTCCTCATGGGGAAAAGTTCAGCTATCTGCTGAACTTTTTCAACTTTACAATACAGTCAAATCTCGGTTGTCCAATGTCTCGGCTGCCGAATGTTTTGGAAACCGAACGCCAACAACCCAAAAGTGACTGCTTCTGTTTTTGAACATGCCTCGGAATGGCTTCCAAGGAGTGTTTCTCAATTTCCCCCCCAATTAAATTTGCCAGCTGCCCTTTGATCCTCAGTTTTCGAAAGTTTTGGAAGTCGAACAGACTTCCGGAATGGATTACGTTAAAAAACCGAGGTGCCACTGTATTGCTTTTGGATCAACAGGGCCAGAACTGTGCACAGTATTCCAAATATAGTTGCACCTTAGATTTGTATAATGACATTATAATATTGGCAGTTTTACTTTCAGTTCCTTTCCTAATGATCCCTAGCATGGAAGTGGCCTTTTTCACAGCTGCCACATGGTTAGTCACCTCTGCCCAATCTTCACTCCCCTATATTTCTTAGAGCTTATGCCAGACCTTGGGGGGAAAAAACCCCAACCCTTTATTTACACTATATGTCATCTATGCCTATTAGCCCTGTGCTCAGTATTGCTCTAATTAAAACACTGAAAAATGCATCATGCATGCCACTTAACATGCAACATACCTGGCTGAAGCGACGAGCTGGGCACTGAGAGATCCATTTTCAAAGTGTGTCTGAATAATCAGGATTTTACTTCCAGATGTAGCATCTAGAAAATTGCTGGAAGAAAAACCCAAAGATTGCACCAAACTGGTTGGATGTATGTGTGGTTTAAAGGCTTTTTATTTAGCAAGAAAGCTGAAAAAATAATTGAACTAAAATCCAGTGCCAGTAAATACACATAAAAGAAGTCATCTTGTAATCATAGTCCAATGTAATGAAGACAGGTTAACAATAAAACTGAATGAACATCTGCGTGACAAAATCATTCATATTGTCTGTTCCTAATTGACTGGGCATACTTGCCTCAATTGCTAGTGTTTATGGAAGAGAATATTCTTAGTGTGGCCCTTTGTGTAAGCCAATGGAAAGGCTACTGGCTGCAGATGTCCCCTGGCACTGCAGACAATTTAAGGTTGTAGCCTACCAAGTTCTACTCTGAAGTTAATGAACCCACTGAAGTTTATGAATATAAATTAGTCTATTAACTTGAATGTGTATATTTTGAGTAGGATTAGGATTGGATGCAACCCATCATGTAGAATTCAGCTAAGTTTTTCTCAGGGTATACCAACTGTATGGGGGACGTGGGTGGCGCTGTGGGTTAAACCACAGAGCCTAGGACTTGCTGATCAGAAGGCAGGGTTCGAATCCGCGCAACAGGGTGAGCTCCCGTTGCTCGGTCCCTGCTCCTGCCAACCTAGCAGTTCGAAAGCACGTCAAAGTGCAAGTATCGCTCTGGCGGGAAGGTAAACAGTGTTTCCGTGCGCTGCTCTAGTTTCCCAGAAGCGGCTTAGTCATGCTGGCCACATGACCAGGAAGCTGTACGCCAGCTCCCTCGGCCAATAAAGCAAGATGAGCACCGCAACCCCAGAATCGGTCACGACTGGACCTAATGGTCAGGGGTACCTTTACTTTTACCTATACCAACTGAAATTAATAAACAGGACTAAGTTAAGTCCATTAGATTCTGGTATACTCTGAATAAAAGTCAGCTGAACACCATGCTATGTCTATAAGGACATTGGACACTCACCGAATCTCTTTCAAAAATGAGTATTCTGTGTCAAACTGTTGCAAGAACAGAACTTTGAGGCTGCCCAACTCGCCTTGTACTTCCGCCTTCAAAGTCACTGTATCTGCTGCTGTCAGGAGCCTGGAGAAAGTAGAAATCTAACAGGAAAGAAGAAATCGAGTTTCAGGGGTTGGGGAAGAATATGGTTCAAAACACATTTAAAGGTGGACTTACATGATTTGCACTTTCCAAGACAGTATGTGAACTGAAACACTTGTGTGAAAATCACATTTGTCTGAATTTTGCAATGCAGTTCAAGGAAATCTCTACACAAATACATATTTCAGGGTTAAGTGTGCATTTAAGTGCATATATTAGTGAAAATAATACACAAAAATCAATTATATTATGGAAATTGCTTGCAAAACTGTGTATATTTTTGTCAAAACTCCATGCAAAAATGTGTTCATTAGGAGAAATTTACATTAAAATGCTGGTGAATTTTCATAAATTCATTCAAAAATGGAAAAATGAGCAACTAAGCAACTAAAGAGGACAGAATGTGGTTTGCTGTGCAAATATTTAATTCCTGATCTAGGTACTTTATTATTAATAATAATAATAATACAGCACTATCTGTGTGTACTTTGCAAAGTACAAAAAGGTAAGTGCCTGTCATGAGAGCCATGCAATTAATGAAAAGAAATAAAAAGGATAGATGGGGAAAACGTATTCCATTCAATCACACACATTTAGACTTAGCAGGTTTTGCATTTGGTATAAAGGAAAATATGGCATTGATGAAGAGATTTGATGTGGGAAATATTTCCATATGCCAAAATGCCCATGCATTTCTCAAAATGCAGCCTCATGGCATCCTCAAGGAGTACAGATTCTTAATGTGCTTTTTTAAAAAAACACAAAGAAATATTATGGAACAACTCACCTCAGTAAAGATTGTGTGACCCCTAGACTTTGTCCCAAGGCAAGCACGAAGGAACTCTGCAAGAGAAGTGTGATGTTGCTGCTGAAAGTATACCCTGGCCAAGTCATCTGCCAGAAAGGAACCCAGCTGTGAATCACCAAGGCGGACTACAGAATCGGGCGTTGCACAGTTTAACAGGACCAACTGGGCTTCTTCTTGTACTTTTCGCATCAGTTCCTGAGGGGAAGCATCCATTTTCAGCTTCTCCATCACCTGCAAGACAACTGAGGCACAGGTGTCAGGATGGTAGCCAACAAAGACATCAGAAGGGGTATATTTCTGCTGGCCCAAAAAGTATTTTTCTGTTTCAACTGTTGTGAAGCTGTCCACCCATTTCTTCAATTCTTCCACAGTGTCTCTTTGCCTCTTGCCCAACACAGTATTGATGTCTAGGTAGTGCTTTTCAAGCCTGTTGATCAACGGGATGGGGAAATGTTTGTAGACCACCTCTTTCTCCTCAATGACAATCAAACGGAACTTAGGGTGCACTCTGCATTTCACTCGATGGGTCCCCAAACCCAAGTCAACATACTTTTGACCAGCAAGTTGAACGTAATACTGGTTGAGGGCATCGTAGAGGCTTTCATACAGATTCTGCAGGTTGAGAAGAATGACCATCTGCCCTGTCTCCATACAGATCTTCACTCGGTTGATGTTTCTGCAGATCTGGGTGTATTCCTGGTCTTTGGGAAAACTGGAACCAAAAATAATTTCTGGCTGCTGTGTACCTTTGAAAAAAGCCTGCTGCAGGATCTGGAGGGCTGCATAATTTTCCGTCAATACCAGCAGGTAACGGCATTCACCATCCTCATAGTCACTGTAAATGTTCTGCTGAACTAGATCAATTGTACCAATGTCCTCACGGATGACATCTCCTTTTTCTGAGAACCTAGACATAAAAATGTTCAAGGCCTCAACACCTTCTTTACCACTGAAATTACGGAGAACTATCTCTGCTAGTTCATGGGGAGCTGGCTCTCTTTTCAGTTTTTTGGTTAAAGCAAACACCATTTTTATGAGACTGTAATAATCACGCAACCCAAAGAACTCCTTGCCTTGGGTCTTGCAAATTTCCTCATAAGCACTTGCAAAGATGGGAAAGAAGCGGTCAACTTTGTGCAGGACGGAGCGTTCTGAAGAGCAGATACCCTTTGCGCTTTCTATGAGCTCCTTCTCGTTTGGTTCTCCACGGGATACAAAGATGCCTCGATTCATCTTAGCTGGATCCAGCGCCCAGTTAGAGATCCCAATGAAGCCAACTTTTTTATGAGGGGTGGATCATCATCAACACAGCCATCTTCCAAGAGCGGGTGAAGGGTCTTCAGAGGCATTTGGGGGGAGTCTTCAGCCAAGCCAATTTCATCTAACACCACCACAGAGACATACTCCTTTAGGTTCTTTCCTTCTTGGAAGCGAGCACAATGCTTGAAAGTGTTGATGATTCCCTCAGGCGTAGAGTGTGGGCTGCACTGAAAGGACACCAAATGGATTTGCTTCAGTTCCTTATAAAGCTCAGTATATGCTGCTTGGCCTTGCATGGCATCAGCCACAATCGTTTTGGCAAGAGATTTGGAACTGCCAGGCTTGCCAATGAGAAACAAGGGGATTTTAAGTTCAATGCAGATAACCATCATAAAAACATTTTCCTTCAGTGCCAAGTTCTTGGCGATCGTTTCCCTCAGAGGTAGGTCACTCAAGAAAAGATCCTGAACTAAGCCAATTTCTTCAAGGATTCCCTTTTCATCATCATATGGCTCTGGAAGGATGGTGCTGATGACTCTGCGGTACTCCTTTTTCCTTTCCAGGGAAGCATGGTAGCAAACACCCACTGCAAGAACCAAGGACCAAATGACTGGGTCTCGCTGGACAAAACCTTTAGCTGCCTTCCTCTCTGCAACTTGCTTCTCCAGATGTTTCATTAGTAGTTCACTGTGGCTGTGGAACCACTTGAAGACTTCCACGCAGCGTTCCACATCCCTGAGGCTGATAAAGCTGCATTCATCATTCCTTCGCCTCATATACGTCTGAGACTCAAAAAGCACATTTGTTATTAACTGGAGCTCAACATCAGACATTGGTATTGACCTAGTCAGTCTTTGCACAATCTGCTGTATATAGAGTTTTTCAGTAACGTTGTTCAACTGTCCGAAATCCCACACTAGAGGGATCATGCTAGGAGGGAGCGCATGGACACGGTATACCAGCTGCCTAAGAGGAATGGAGCCAAGCTTTTCCTTGGTCTCCTCTGCTTTGACACGGTAGCCTAAGCCAGCCGATTCCAAGCGCTGAATCATTTCCCCTGTATGCTTGCGATAAGGATTGCATGCAGCTATGATTTGCAGACCTGAGTTGTGGACCAAAGGCTGTCCTTCAACTGTGCGATCACACAAGACTTCCTTGATGCTGCTGACAGCTTCAGTGGTGTTGGCTTCATCAAAAAACAGGATGGTGTCAAACTGGTATTGTTGTTTATTGTCAATAGCAATGTCTTCTGCTTCCCTGACTTTGGCATAGATTGCATCTGCTGTGGTGCCTCCATGGACCTTGACAAGCTTCATGTTATCGGCATTGGCACCGCTCCTACGTAGTTCACACAGGAATTTTATTAGCCTGGTTTTTCCACAGCCAGTTTCTCCCATGAGGACAACAGGGATACCACACCTGAATCGCATTTCAATAGCAAGGATCTTTAGCATATTGTCTGTTGTGAGCTCATATGTTTCATCAGGATCCATTTGTCTTTGGAGCCCTAAAACTGTGCAAAGTGTCTCAATTTTTTTATTTCTAGGGAGTTCATCAAAATTAATGTTTAATGGAACTCTCTGATGCAGCAATCCCTCATACAGATCAGATGTCATCACACCTTCCCGGATGACACTTCCATTTAGGGGATTGATGGCATCGATGCTACCATTGACTCTTTTCCGAAGATGAAAGCCAATAAATGTCATACATATAGAGTCTTCGTTAAAGAATATATATGGGTGGGGCTCTGACTCCCACTTCTTCCTTAGAAGGAATGGAACAAGATCTTCTTCTGTGACTCCTTCCATGTCAAAAAACTTATTCCCAGGGCTTTCATCAGAAATATTTAGAGATGGTGTAGCAAAATCCTTTGCCATTAAAATCATAAATGTGACCACAAAATTTTTGAAGCCGTGTAAAACATCGTGAACAAAAGCAGCATTACAGAACACCGAAGTTTCACAATTTCTCAGTTGAAGGTTCAAAAACCAAGCAAAGTTTCTCAGTTCTGACCAGGAAGGATCTATCACTCCACAATGGATCAGGAGCATCTGCAGGCACTCTTCTGGTGTCCCTTCAACAGAGCCTTCTTTATATTGGAATGTGTCAAGACAATCTCCTCTGCTAGATCTTCTCAAGTACTGGTAGGGTCTCTGAAAGGCTTCGCTATGGAACACTTCCTGATCTATACCTGGGTCTGAGCAATCATAGGACAGATTCCTCTGCATGTTCATTTCTAGGACTTCCTTGGGAGATCTGCAGGTTACTTTGGGGAACACATCCATGAAGTTGTATTTCAGTCCTGGAAAAGTCTAAAAGAAGAGGGGAAAGCAGTGAATAGGAAGGTATCATAAAGTGAAACACTCTTGAATGTTATGACTGGACATTTATTTCTCCCTTATAAACTATGTTACTCCTCAAAATATTTCTATCCTCAAAACTCTTTACTTCCTGCTAGCTATCTGTTCTAACATTTATATGGGAAGGACTAATTAAAATTGCATGTATATTGGCTAAATTGGCCCCATAAGTCTGACAGGTAGAAATGGAGATCAAGTTCCAGCCCTTCATCCAATTCTGGAGCTCTCTGCAAAAAGGAGAAGCTAGATTAAAGCTGTGAAGGTGAACAAACCAACATAATTAAATTAAATTTCATTTTAATTTTAAGTCATATTTAGTTAAATGGTTCAGGATCATGGTTGATAATGGAGTATGACAGGGTGGGTTCTTAAATCCCAATGTGTAACAAGTTTTAGGACTAAAGTGAGCTGTGCATTCGTCCCCAGAGCCTACTATAAAGCATAGTGTTGGGAGAAGATTGAGCTTGCTGGAACCTTGGGCTATACATTGCCCTCAACTTGTATATATAGATTTTTAACTTTTCCAGAGGTGAATTCTCATATAATAACCAACTAATATAATCTAAATGAAATAGATAAATGAACCAATTTGTGCCTAAATTGCTTAACCACAGGAAGCTGCCTTATATGGAGTAAGACAGCTAATTCATCTTGCATAGTACTGTCAACACTGGCTGGCAGTGGTTCTCCGGGATTTCAGGCAAAAGTCTTACCAGCTTACCTGGAGATGCTAGGGAGTGAACCTGGGACTTTTTGCATGCACAGAATTAGAGAGCCAGAGATCACACATTAATTGGTTGGGTTGAGAGCTAAGGGTTCATCTGTTATTTTTTAAAAGCTATTTAAGTCCTCCTATGCTAATAATACAGAATGAAAAATTAATTAAAGATTACTTTTCCTGCTAACAATGAGTGGTAAGGTAAAGGTAAAGGGACCCCAACCATTTGGTCCAGTCGTGACCGACTCTGGGGTTGCAGCGCTCATTTCGCTTTACTGGTCGAGGGAGCTGGCGTACAGCTTCCGGGTCATGTGGCCAGCATGACTAAGCCAATTCTGGCGAACCAGAGCAGTGCACGGAAACGCCGTTTACCTTCCTGCTGGAGTGGTACCTCTTTATCTACTTGAACTTTGACATGCTTTCGAACCTCTAGGTTGGCAGGAGCTGGGACTGAGCAACGGGAGCTCACCTCGTCGTGGGGATTCGAACCACCGACCTTCTGATCAGCAAGTCCTAGGCTCTGTGGTTTAACCCACAGCGCCACCCGTGTCCCTTAACAATGCGTGGTAGGTTTTGTTTATTAAATTGTAAATTAGACTTCTTTCAATATTTCCAAAGAGCCTCTATATTGAAAATTTGGGAACAAATAGTTTTACTTAAATATAATTGCTGATCAATATACAAATACTAATCAATCCACTGTCTAAAAATAATGTCAAATCCAAGCAATATACTAGTAAAAAGCTGCTAAGACCATTATTTCTAGGCATCTGACAACCTCCTTTTTGATCACAGAAAACTACAAAGAAAAATTAAACTTCAGAATTTCCCTAAGTAATAAACACTACAATAATCTTGACATGCTACCCCATTGTGATGTATATGAAACAATACAGTGGTTGTACTGTATTATCTATCTTGAAAAATATTTATTTAGGGTAAATATTTATATAGTCGTTACATATCTACATGTACTTACTGATCTCGTGCTTTTCTTTAATTGTGGTGATGGTTCAAGAATTTCTATAACATACAAATGACACTGTTTCCGCAGCCAGAGTTTCCCATCTATATTTATCAGGTGCTGTAAAACTAATAGCTTGAACAGAAATTCTGGAATTCCAGTCTGGACCTAGGAGAATACAGAAACTCAAGTAGATAAATTAGCGAGTAGAGATCATTTAATCAATATTTATTTATCCTGATTAGCCTACTGATATGATCCCAATTACATTAAGAGATGTCTTCCTGTCCACTCCCAGATCCTGCACAAGCTTCCCTTTCTTAGCCTATGGTCCTACAGATGATCCTGAACTCCAGTTCCCATCAGCTTCAAGCAACATGGCCAATATTCAAGGATGATGAAAGCTGTAGTCACTCCTGTTCAAAATCCTGCATGGCCTCCCTTTCTCTTATCTCTCCACTTAATACGCTCCTTCCTGAGACCTTTTTTAAAAAGCTAGTTATGAAAATGTTCCACAACATTTGATAACAACTTCTGCCAAAATAGCAATATACTCACTGAAGAGGTGATATCAAAATGAAATATCATGGGCTGTTTCTGGTTCTGATTT